TCAAGTTTGCAATGGTTTATATATTTTTTTAAAATAATTTTTTTAGTAATCTTATTTTAATATTTACTCATTGAACGTTTAAAAAGCTTGAATTATATTATTGAATTTTAAATTATACTTATACTTTAAAATACCTATCAAATATTATAGTATTTTGTTTATACTATAATATTTGATTGATGCTCAATTCTTTTTAAAATAAATTAATATTAATATATGATAAAATAAAATTGAGATACAATGTACAAAGCACGTGTTAGAATACTAGTTATCATTAAAAGTCAAATTTGTTGTAGTGTCAATTAATTGTTTACGCATACATGTTATTTTTATGTTGTTTCAAATACTGCTATGTTAATTTTCCATTCAAAATATTAATAGATGTTTTGTTCAACTAAAATATATATTTTTTTATCTCTTTATTAAAAGTTAAAGGTAGTATTAAAACTTTTAAAATAATAGGGGTATTTTTAAAATAAAAGACAACATTTAGAAACATTTTTGTATTTTAGCATAAAACATTCCAAAAAAATTATTATTATTTTTAAAAAAAATTAAATCTCATCATCTAGAAATCTCACGTGTGGACACTCACACCGTCAAGCCTCACGATTGACATTTTCACAAATGCTTCATCTTTTGTTTTTTATTACATGGCTAGCGGTGTCTTGGAATTTTAATTTTTAATAGCTTTTTTTGTTTTTTTTATTTGTTCGGCTTTTAACAATTGAATTGGAATTTTCTTTCTTGAAAATGGTGAAAATATTTCTCTCTCATGCTTGGCGTATTGTCCCTTAAACTTAAAATTTTCACAATAAGTTTTACAATAACCAATCATCAGATTAACTAATTGAGTGTAATAGTGCCATCAATAAGAAAGGAGTCGACGCCTTTCAAATGAATCATTTTTCTAACCTGTGTTTTAGTTTTTTTAAACTAGCGCAATTTACTGGAAAGATTATGGAGGAACTGATCCAGAAATTAGACGACGATTGTTGTCTTGAAAGCAATTTTAATACGACTACGGTGCTAAATCGTATGTACGCCGGTTGCTCTCCAAGGTTAACACAACTCAAAAGTGAGACGTGCACTCGCCGGAGCCGGATGAAATCGAAGAACACGCTCAATTTCGTCAAAAACTCATCACCTTTTCTCGGGTGCATAAGCAAACTTGATTTGATTTTAAAAAGAGAAAAGTAAAAACGTTTTAGCTTTATTAATTAAAACGTTACAAAACAAAATTAATTAATTAATTTTGTAACGTTCAAATAATTAAAAAGAAATAAAACGTTTTTTCTAAAACTATTTAAAATATTTATTTTACCTTTTGTCAATGCACTTTGTCATTCTCAACAGATTCATCATTCAAGCAATTTCTAGATCGACATTCAATTGAATCAAACAATATAAACATATATTAGTATTATGATCGATCTTTATTCCAAGATATATTTAGAATAATAAATAAAAAAGAAGGAGATAAAGTTGAAAAATAGAGAAATTAAAAGATAAAACGACCTAATTTGTTGAGTTTTGAAATTTGCAATTGTTTTCTTTCCCCACATCTTATCGGTAACAGAAGTGATCCATTTTAAAGAAAGTTACAAAAACTTTCCGTAAATGTACAAATTCATTATTACAACAACACACCTCCTAGAAATACTTTTATTTTCTACAAATGTTTTAAAATCTAGTCAAATTTTGGAAATTAGAAACACAGAAAAAGAAAAGTAGCTTTTTAAAAACTCTTTTTTCATTTGAAATTTAGTTGAAATATTAAATGTGTTTAACAAAAAAGTGACAAAACATACCAAGAGAAGTTGTGATCGGTAAGTTAGAGGATGGTCTTTAAACATTGATAACTAAAAATAAAATCCTTAATGGGACCTTGACAATTACATCTTCCAAATTTTTAAATTTAAACAAATTTTAAGGTTCAATTTACTTGCAAGCAATCCAAATGAAAAAAAATAGAATGGAATAATTGTGTGCCATGATAAATCTTCTCAATTGTTCGAATGAAAGAGTGTTAGTTGTGCTCGACACAACACACTTGTATTTACTTACTTTCAAAACATCTATTTTTTATGAGGAAAAATAATTAATAAAAATGTTTTATTTTTATTATGTTTAAATAAATATATAATTGCAAAGACCACTTGGGGGAAGTTATTAATTTGTCATACCCAAACTTCTGATATAATTATGAATCTTATTAGTACAATAATTGGGGATATAAGGATCGAATCTCCGATCTCGAAAGAGAAGTGGTACATGTCAATTACCGTTAACCTATGTTCATGTTGGCTGGCTATCATATAATTATGAATTTATTTTCTCTTGATGTGTTTAATATATTGAAACCATGTAGCAAGAGATGGTTATTCAAATTAAAATTTTAATAGTATTAAGATATATAAATAACTTAAAAAGTCAACTCATTTTTATCATCGTGTGTGTGAGAGTGAGGGTAGAATTAGTGATTTTGAAAAAAAAAAATTTAAATAGAATTTATTTTCCAAAATCATCATTCAAGTGATACTTTAAAAATCAATTTAAAGTGATTTTAAACTTTCCTAAAATCAATTTTATAATTTGTCAATAATGATAAGAAAAGTGATTTTGATAATGACAAAAGTGATTTTTGGTCATTCCAAAATTACTCCCAAATACACCCTTATGATTCACTTTACAATTATTGGTATATTTTACATGATTAGTTTCGATGTGATATATATATTTATTGGATCATATATTAATTAATAACATGAAACATACTTTTTAAGATAGGAATGAAACCAATACGTTAACAGAGGACTTGTCAACCTAAAGCATAATTCAACTAGTTAAGATACATATTTCTAGCTAATAGATCGTGAGTCCGAATCTCCAATTTCCCATATTATCCTAAAGAGAAAAAAAAAAGATTATCAAAGCATCATTATACTAACTACCGACCATAAAAGCATCATCATTAAATGTTGGTGCTACAAAACAAATTTCATTTTTGATAAGTCCGTCCTTGTTTGTTTAATTATCATTAAAAGTCAAATTTGTTGTAGTGTCAACTAATTATTCCACACATATATATTATTTTCATGTCGTTTCAAATTCTGCTATGTTAACTTTCCATTCAAAATACTATAGATGTTTTGTTCAACTAATATATTTTTTATATCTATGGAAAGTTAAAAATAGTATTAAAACTTTTAAAATAATAGAGGTATTTTTTAAAATAATTAAAGATAATATTTAAAAATATTTTTGTATTTTAGCCTAAAACATTAAAAAAAAGATTATTGTTATTTTTTTAAAAAAAATTAAAGATCTCTCCGTAGATAGAGATCCCTAGCATCTCACATGATTCACATTTTAAATAGGTTCTCAAATAATTAAAAACTATTAATTCTTTCTCTTGTTGTTTCCAATATTAAACAAAAATATATATAGTATTGACTTTGCAATCTCATCATCTAGAAATCTCAGATGTCTTGAAATGCCAAAAGGATAAGATGGAGCATATAAAACATGCCAAATTATTATTTCTAAGTTGTTGAGCGCAGACACCAGCTTATTAAATTTTCGTCCCATAGAATTTTTTGGTATAAGTAGATATTCGAATTCACGATATCTTAACTAGAAATATATGTCTAAATGTATTGAACTACAAGTGGTTATAGTTAGACATTGACATAAAAATAATCGATATTTCTATAATATTTTAAATTTTAAAATAGCCAAATTACAAAAGAATATTAATTAAATATGGACTTATTTCTTAATATTAATACCTTTACTCATTTAAAAAGCGTGAAATATTTATTTGATAATTAAAATTTTTTAATTATCTATTTAAATTTTTAGAAATATTTCATCTATACACATATATTATTATTCTAATTTTGAATATTTTTATTGACATTGAAATTTAAAATTTTGAGTAATACTCCCATATATAATATATAATAATTTCTTTTGAGTTCAAAAGGTATAAAATAACTTACGACAACAGTAATTGATTTAATTTCCAGTACTATGGAATCATTTTTATGTTTATTTGAGGGCAGCTAAATTAAAAGGACTCAAGGTATAGATTACTACATTCTCATTTATAATTATTATACTCTTTAAATGAAACTTAGAAAATTAAAAAATTTAAAGGTAATTTTACACACTAACATAAATTTAATATCATTTTTAAAAATATTATAATTTTTCATTCTTTTAAATATAGTATAAATTTGACCTTTTTCTTAAAGTAATCTGAATTTGATTAGAAATAATATTATTGTGTAAATATAAACTTTTTGCTATATATTATTTTATGCCATTTATATGATAACCTCAAATTTAAATGCTTATTTAATTTTATTATACTTTAGATGATTTTTTTTTCGCACTTTTCTTTCGCACACAATTAATGTCTAGAATCCTTGACTAAGGCACTTTAAAAAAAATGGCAAAACAGGCCATTTGCAAGTTATAAATAAAAACACGTTTTTTTTTTTTTTAATGTAAAGTGCTTCTTTGTGCTCAATAAAATTTAAATCAATCTTGGCTGTATTTTTTTTCTATCCGATGCTAGTTTGAGTTTTTGGACTCTTGATACTATATTAATATTCATAGACTTCCATCTTAAAATCAATTGGTAAGATCATGACTCTTTTCACTATACTTTTTCAACCATATACTCATAGTCATTTGGTTTTGAGATAGAACTATTTCAATAACAATATTAATATGGGATAAGAGTAGTCCAAAAGTTGAAACTAAATATCTGATCCAAAAATAAGTTCCGACCAAGACAATGAACCAAAAATAGGCACCAATGAAACTACTCTCATTTGTAATTGGTTTTAAGATAGAACTCATAAATATTAATACGCTCGAAATGATATCCTAAATACTTTTGTCAAGCTCTTGCGGGATGGTAATTGAGTATTATTATAATTAAAACACAACTTTTATTAAAACATAACCTTCTGCATTATTCTAAAGGCTAATCAAAAGCATAAACATGGTCATTATTCTCTCCAAAATGGGCAGCTTAGAATGTAATTTGTGACCTTCAAATTACAATAAGAGAGCTCCCACACGAAACACTTATTCATTTATATTGAGATACTGTTGGGAATTCCTCTCCCAGTGAGTCCCTCAGTACTCGATGGAACAAGCAAAGTGTAAGGCATATTAACAGGCCCAGCTCGATTCTTCAAGTTCACATCTTGATTCCTTCGCATAATTCTATCCTCAATTTCAAACAGCTCTTTCCCAAATTTCTCAAAGGCTTCAATTGCAGTTTTGTCCGATGTCCACTCAATGCTGGCTCTTTGCCCGAGATAGACCTCGTCAGAAGCGTGCTTCGACAATATTTCAATTATCGAGAGGCCAAGAAGAGCCACTATTTGCGAGCTGATTGTTCTTAGAAAGGCCTTTTCAGGGTTTGATTCAACTTCTTTGTACTCTGCAGTGCCTACTTCTGGCATGAATCTTCTGCTTGTGGTTGGTCTGTTGGGAACGTAGCCTCCATAAGGGTATTGCCCAAAATTGACTGCTGCGTGAAGGGCTGAAGAAATCCATATGATTATGGTGCATGATTCRATTAACTCTGAAAAAGTTTGCATTTTGGGCCACCATGGCTCGTCTTTCTTGTCTGYATGACCTTTTTCTCTGAGTTCTTTCCACCAAGATTGGAGCTCGACATCATTTCGAATTGCGTCGTCGTCTTTGTAGTAGAGRGAGCAGTAATCTGTGACCCATGTTTTGATGGCTGACCAAATCTCGAGCCCATCAACAGCAAAGGGGTAATCGTCTATTAGAAGTCGAACTCCATGGGGAGAGCYTGAGTCCTCAATTGCTACTCCTCTAGACAAATGCCAAAAGACAAAGAAAGTTAATATATTTATGATATATTAGGAAAACACTTAGGCCAGTTTTTCAAACTATTATGTGATCTAAACACTAAAAATTTTAAAAACAACATCTTTTACGTTTTCAGTGTTTTGAAATTTTGAATTTTAAACGTTAAGATGTAGAATTACAGCAATAAATTAGATAAATTTTTTTATATATATGTGTTATAAACTCATTTAATTTTTGTTAACACTAAAAAATGTAAAAATGTAATATATTATAGAATATATATGTTGCAAATAATAATTATACAAAATTTATGACATATATGATAATAATCAATTAATACTATTTTAGATTTAATTAAATATTTCATTGGTAACTACCACTAGTTTACCAATATACAACTAAACACATTGAACAATTTTTTAAACAGATATTCAATTTTCAAATCGGCTACCAAATACATATTTGAAAACACTGAAAACAACTCTATTTTCATTAAATCCTTTGTTTTCAGATTTCTGTTTTTGGATCATCAACAAAAAAAAAAAAGGTAAGGGCCTTTTTATTGATAATGAGTTGTAACTTTTTCAATTGTGGTCAGCATAGAAATGATAGATAGATGAGAAACTTATCTCTTAATGAGATTAGTAGGGAGTGCTTCATCGGGGAATTTCCATTCCTTGTATATGTAAGAGGACAGCTCCATAGCATACTTCGATTGAAAATGAGTCGATTCAATAAGACCATCAGCGTTGATCAAAACTTGCCTTGCAGATGCATTTATAAACATGGTGTCTTTGTAATGAGGAACAAGTAATTTATGGATCGGATGAAGTACACTCAATTGTCGATGGGTTGCAATAACAAAAGGCTCCAGTACTGCATGAGTGTGTAACCTGTAGTTTCAATATAATGTGTTAGGATTTGGTTTTGGACAACGGTATCCTTGTACTCCAAGTTTCTCTACAGTTTTATTATATCGTCAACTTCATTGTTTTTGGTTTCATCCAAAAGACCTATGTCGATGGAGATAATTGTCATTTTTTATAATTTCATAGAAGAAAACGAGAATTGTTTTAAAGGATTTTTACCAGTGACTGTTAAGTCGATGATACCCACTATCATTAACAGCTACATAAGCTTTGGCCAGTTGCCAAATGGCACTCTCAACTCTTCCTTCAGCTGGAAAGTATAGTTTGCTAATGGCACCATGTTCATCTCCTTGAGGGTGTGGCAAGCTCAACTCAATAGCCAATGGCTTCAAAGTACTATCATCTCTCAAAAACAGGAGTGTTCTTGTGGCATATGTTTTTGTAGATGTTGAATTTATTCTCCTAAGATATGGCATCAATGCATCATGGTGATCCAATATGTAGAGCTTATTTTGCTTGATTGCCTATCCAACCCAATTATTTTTTGTTATTAATTTTCATGAGAAATCATAAGAAAAGTAATTAAAATTTTGAAATTTAATTCAGATCCTCTAAATCACCTCATCGACTGTGAGTCCGTCTAAACCATGTTTTATTTGTCCTTCAGTCATTGTACTGTTTTGATTCCCATAAACATGAGGTTCCAGATTGCTCAGTGGTGGAAAAATCTATAAATGTAATTAAAATTTAATATTAAAACTTAGAAAAGAAATACTATTAGAGACAATTGATAATAGGCTAAGTTAAGATTACTTCGAGACGACGAATGATTAAAGGATTGACTCCCGCTAACATTTCTCTTGCAAATTCTTCATCTCTCTTCCACCCTAACTTGTTATCTGCTCCAAGTTATTATATACCATCAATAGAATTGTATGAGTAATTATTAAGAATACCATAAATCATTTTATTATATATTCTCAACATTTCAAAATTCATAACTTAACCTATAAGCTTGAATATTAATTATTTGATGAGATGGATACAAAATAAGATTTCATATGTACCTTTGATAACTTGGGGAGTTGGATATTTGAGGAATCTTTCACCATCACTCCTCAGAAATGCTTTAAAGAGGGGTGGGGCGAGGTCCTCAGTGAGGTTCTTAAAAACATTCAATGGAATGGGAAACCCTCGTTCAAAGAGATCGTCTAYTTCTTTGAATTTGTCAAATTCTCCTGGGGTTAAATCAAATATAGATTCAAGTCCTGGTTGGATAGATGTAGAAACTGCCTTCAATGTATTCCCAAGGAAATCCGCCATCTTCAGGTGCCCAAAATTTTCGTCTCTCGGTACGTAAATATTCAAGCTCATCACCTTTGACAATCTACTCTCGTACTTGTGATCTATAAAAAGATGAATGCAATTTATAAATTACTATAGATTCTAACGTCTGACTTGTGGGGAAAATATATTATGTCTTAATGAATTATGCTATACTCAGATTGACACATACAATTGCAATTAATAAATTACTATTTGAAAACTTGAAATATGTGTATTAAAAGGAAAAAAAAATTTAAGTGTTTACGGTTAAGCAGGTATCTTTCTACTTACCACCATTAAAATAAAACGACAGTTGCATATTATATTTTATCTCTCTTCCTTTATGCATTATCTCTTTTTAGCTAGTTGTGAATGTCTAGCTAGTTGTGAATGTCTTAATGTTCGTAAGTACGAGATATCTACTTATCTATAAGTACTTAAATATTATTCTTAAAGAAACAAATCTTACCTTTTCTGGCCGATGGTCTTCCTGTCCTCCCTCTACGAGGGTAAGGGTACTGRTCACTCCCTCCAAGAATAGGACGAACAAGGTTAGGACCACCATTTGGATCACAGAGGTCGTTGTAAACATCATAGTCATAAATTCTATCCCATTCTTTCCGCTCTCCTGTTCCATCTCCTCTGAGGTTCAACAACTCCTCCTCTCTATACTTACGAAGTGAATCCGGTGTATCGATCGGAAGGCATGTCTACATATGAATAGTTCCATTAGAAACAAATAAATCTTGAGGAGAGACAGAGAGGGGGAAGAAATTAAGTTACATGGTTGGCAAAGAAAATGCGATCTTTCTTGTATCTTCGAGAAGGGTAAACCCATGAGTTGCAGTCAAAATGGACCCTTCCAAAGCCAGGAACATCCTCCAGAGTTACAGACTTGAGGAAGAACTCACTGGTGTGCCCATTTTTTATGAAGAAAGCTCCTGGAAATCCAAAGTTCTCTTCCCAATCAAAGTTCACTTGAAACACAGACTCTCCGGCGAACAACGGCGGAATTGAAGTCAGCCACCTCTCCAGAAACGCCCGCTGTCCAACTTTCCCTCGCGAGTCGTTGGCTGTTAATTACATGATAATCATGAAAACAACATTCATAACTCATTGTTTACAAACGGAGAGAAGAGAGAGATGGAGAGGAAAAATGATAGGATAGATCAGATTCGTTCATCGTTTCCAATCATTATTATCGTTGTTATTCGATCGACCCAAAAGTTTAAGGAAAAAAAAATTTGACAAAAGTAGAAATTCGGACATATAACCTCCTTTTCTAGTACCATAATAAATTATCAATAGAGGATAAGGTATAAAAAAATTTAATATCTTAATTCCTTAGTGTGTACTTGAAAATTTATAGGAAGCTCAACAAGCAACCATCAATATTAGATGGAGAAAAAATAACATGATAGGACCATGACCTCCAATGCTACCTTAAATCACCAAAAACTTGAAAATTTTGGGATCAATAATGATTCTAAGAGTTATCATCAAAACACCGATAGGATTTATAAGGTGATTTTGCAAACAAAGTCTCAAATTTCTTCATGAGTATATAACATAGGACAATTATCTCCATTGTACGACACCTTTTGGATAGCAAAAACGAAGTTGTGATAGCTGTGTTTAAAGCGGACAATATAATACCATTATGGAATTATGGAGATACTCGGAATAATACTTGAGATATCGTTGTTCAAAACAACCATATTAAACAAAAATCATTAGAAATGGAGAAGAGAGAGATGTTACAAGCGTGAGTGGCACTGATGAGTTGCAAGGAAACGCCGCCGCCCAAGAGCTCAGTGAAGCCATCAAGAAGCGTGGAATGGAATTCGGTAAAGTCCAAAACATTGCTTCTCATAAGAACCACTGTCCCTTTGATCTTCTTCCCGCCGATATTGGTGACACGCCCTAAAATGTTGCCGCCGGCATTGATGACGGAGCCGGCGAGGTCGCCGGTAGTGTTCACGGCGCTCTCTATGATATTCTTCCCAATCCCAAACATTTTCTCTCTCACCTCTCTTTGAAAAACTAGTAAAGAAGTGGGTTGAAAAGGAGGAATTTGGTATGGTATTTATAGGTAAAAAAAAGTTTGTTATCCAATTTTTTTTTTTATAACTAAAAAAGGGAAGTACAAAATATAAATTTTTTTTAAAAGGATAATAATATTTAAAATAAAAATAGATTCTCAGTAACTCAAAATATAATTAATACATGTGGACACTCACACGTCAAGCCTCACTATTCACATTTCCACAAATGCTTCATCTTTTGTTTTTTATTACACGGTACCTGTCTTGGAATTTTATTTATTTATTTATATTTTGGAAAAGGCGAAAATATTTCTCTCTTATACAAGTCAGGACCGACTTAAGGCATAGGCGAGTGAGGCAATACCCCAATCCTATAAGGCCTCATATTTTTCATATATTAGTATATATAATATAATATTGTTATCTATTTAATTTAGTTTTTACTTATAAATGTACTTTGGAATATAAAATAATATATTTTCCATGGATTTTGTTCTTATAATATTGAAAATACAAACTAATAATAAATATAATTCTTCTGAAAAAAATCTAATCTGTCATATAAATTTCTCTAGATTTTAATTTTTGAGGAAGAAAATGGGACTAAAGCCCATCAAACTAAGAAAAAATGATATAAGACGAAAAAATTACAAGACGAGGCATGAATACCTCAATACATACTCAATCAATAGAGAAAAAGAGACTATTGGGTGGCTCTCTACAAATATGTAAACTTAAAGGAAGAAACATTGTTTGATTAACAAGTAAATATGCACGAAAATTTGGTTCACCATAAATTTGTCACACTCCATCCTAAAAAAGGATGATCTCAATATTTAAAATCATAGAAAAAAGAACTCTCAACTCTAATTTTAACTTGACACCTTCAAAATTTGTACTTTTATATTTTTCTGTAGGTTTAAAACTTTTCAAACTCCAATTAAAAAAGAAAAACATTAACATGACCCTTCAATATATTCACAATTAAAATTTTTAAATTCTTTTTAAGAAAAAAAGAGTTTTCCATAAATATATTCAGTAGGTTATACTAATTTTAACTTAATTCTGTTAATCCAAATTGTTAGAATAGAAACCAAAGGTTCAAAGTTTATTATTTTAAGTTTTTTTTTTCATTTCTTTTACTTGTTTGAAAATGTATTTGATATTGTTGAATACTTTTATAAAATATAAAAACTTATTGAATCTAAAAAAAATGTGCTACAAAAATGGATTGAATATCAAAAAATGTTATCAATAAATTTTTTTAGTAGAAGTAAAAGTAATAAAAATGATAAAATAATAGAAGAAATAATAGGTATAGATAAATCAAAACATAAACAAAAACGGTGGATAATGAAGAATCTAATCAAATAAATTTCAACTGAAAAAAATAGTCAGATTAAGTCTCCGTTTCAAAATTTTACCTAAGATCACATATCATCTCGAGACGCCCTGATACAAGTTGGTGTATAGTGGTGGTTTATAATAGATATAGATTATTATTTTTATTGTAAATTTGATTTAGAAGTAGAATTTATTAAGATGGTATCAAAATCTAAATCGTTCAAATGAGACTATCACAAGAGCTACAATCTTGAGAGTTCTACTGCGATATATTTTATATTACACAATATTTTATATTACAGAATATTATAAAGGAGAGAGCATCTCTAACGTGACGGTCACGTCGAAAAGGACGTTGATGTTTGTATGTCGCCTGCAAATATGGAAAAAGGGTTTGCATTTGTCAATTCATTATCTTCAGCACTAATTATGCAAGACAAATATATTTTAACAATATACTTCTCAAAAAATATATTTTCAGAATATTACTGGCTAACAAGAGGTTTAATTATTTAGAAAATTTCATCCATTTAAACTTAAGGCGCTGTTTTACTTGGTAGAAACTGAAATGGACATGAATCGAAATAGAAATATTATTCATTTGATGCTATTTATCAAAAATTTGTTGGAATCGGAATGAATAATGTTGTTTATTAAAACTATCTGGAATCGAACTAGTATATCTTTTTTTCTTTCTAATTAATTACAAATGCATTGTTGTGTTAGTATTTTTTAATTACATAAATAATTTGTTTTATTACTATATTATTGGTAGTAAATATTTTTTATTGTAACATAATATTTAATATTAATAATAATGAATAAATAAATAATTTATTTAATATTTATTTATAGTTAACATGTATATGTATCATATATGCCCTCGTCATTAAGGTTGGGGTAATTTTCAACATAATTAATTTTTAGTTATTATTAAGATTTTTTAAAGAATTATTAACTAATATAAAACTATTCCTTGAAACAAACTAAAAAAACTCAAGCGAACATATCGTAGTAGTAATTAACATATATCTCTAACGATGAGTTATGAGTTCGATCCTACACCCTTAGATGTTGTATTAAAAAAATGTTGACTTTAAAAAAATAATAATCACATGTTTTTATTTGATTTTTTTCTCCCAAAGATAGAAACTTTGATTTTTTTTCTCCCAAAAAATAACGTTGATGTTTTTGTTTTGACTTTTGATTCGTTGCTTTTTTTTTTTTTAAAGAAACTTACATATGTGGTAAATTGTTCATTTTCGGAGCATGCATATGTTTTTATGTAAAGGATTATGGAACATATTTAAGAATACATGATATTTTGGTTTATTTTAGATTTTATATTTTAAAAATGTCAAATATAGTCTACTTATACTCTCAATTTTTGTTTATTTTAGTCTAGATATTGGCAAGATTTCAACACAACTTCTATATACAATGAAAACCCTCTAATACAAATTTACGACTACACTTTAAGAAACTTTTTAATTGTGGTGTTATATAGAAATTGTGATTGAAAAAATGTGATAAAAAAGAAAACAAATTGATAAAAATGACCACTTTTGAAAATTACCAAAATCAAACCCAAATAGTTCAAAAGAAAATAAACTAAATTGTTAGACAAAAACCAAAGGTAAAAAAAATAAAAATAAACATTTTGAAAGTTACAAATACCAAAACAGACTACAACTGATATTACATAGACCAAAATAACATTTAAACTTAAAATTTTTCATAGGTTAAAGTTTCACAATAACATATCATTGGTTTGACAGTAAATTTGGTGGTATGATCTTCGGGATGAAACCTCAAACATGTTGTCGCCTTTGATAATAAGAAATAGTATAGCTTACAGAGTTGTGAGTTCGAAACCTTTTGGTCAAGGACTCGTCTGTTTGGACGTCATGCATCGCTGTCAGCTGCACAACAATCATCCACTCGACACGTAATCGTCCACCCAACACGTAGGTCCCTCGCTGCAGATGGAGGCACACGCTGGCCTCCCGTGCGCCGGCCGGACATTGAAATTTGCAGTTGTTTTCTTTTCCCCATGTCTTATCGATAACAAAAGTGGTCCATTGGATTCCTCCTTGCGTCCTGCCAATTTTGTAAAAAGTCCCCACTTTACATTTTTATTTTAGTTTAAAGAAAGATACAAAAGCTACAAATTAATTAGATCAAAAAACAGTCCATGTACTTTCACTGAAGTAACAATTTAATACCTAAACTTTAGTTTGTAATAATTTAGTTCCTGTACTTTCAAATTGAGGACAATTTAGTCCTTAAATTTTAATATGTAATAATTTCGTCTTTATAATTTAAAATTGGTAACGATTTAGTCTTTATCGTAATTTTTTTTTGTTAAGTTATTTGTATGTGTAGATTGATAAACTTAAGAGAGACCAACTATGTTTATGAATTAGAAAGATTAAATTGTTATATGATAAAATTTGATACTTAATTTTAATAAAGTTTTAACGATAAGGACTAAATTGTTACAAATTTTAAACTACATGAACTAAATCGTTGCAAGTTAAAGTTCAGGGACTAAATTGTTATTTTAGGGAAAGTACAAAAACTAAATCGTTACAAATTGAAGTTCAGGGACTAAATTGTTATTTTAGCGAAAGTACAGGAACCAAATGTATTTTTTAACCAATTAATTATTATGATAGTGAATTAAAAGTGTTAAATGTGGATATCTAAAAAAAATGTTTGAAGTTTAAATTTTATGAAAATATCAGTATTGATTGATATTTTTAGAAAAGTTATAAAAATAAAAAATTATAAAAATTAATATTTCATAATTTATAAATAAATTAAAAATGATTAATTAATTAATAGCAGAGTGATATTTTTCACATTTTATCTTTTTTTTTTTAATACTATGGAAGTATCGATTTACCACTCATATTGATGTTGGAAACGTGGATGGAAATGTCTAACAGATCGTCGGAAATTCGATACTTTGAAGATAACGCACCACCAAACTATCAGGATGAGAATAAGTACTCTCTCTAAATTTACAATTTTTACTTTCTTTTCTTAAGATTATAAATACTATTTTTTTTCATCTAAAAGGTTTTAAAATACAATTCAAATTTTGAAAATTAAAAAATGGTAGTTTTGTTAAATTTTATTTTTGGTTTTTAAATTTGGTTAAAAAATAAAATGTATTTTTTTAAAATGTGAAAGAAAGCATACCAAAAGGAGCTGTGAGCACGCTAGGGCATTGTCTTCAAAAAGAGATAACAAAAATAAAATCAAGATCAAATAGGTCTTAGCATTTACCTTTTCAAAATTTTAAATTAAAGAAACTTAAAAAATATATATATATACTATTAACTTAAAAAGTGATTTTAAATTTAGTATTCATTTGATAAACATTTTGTTTCATTTTTTTTTATAAAATAAAACTTAAGTAGATTTCTTTGTTTGTAAACTACGTTCTTAAAAAGTTTTAAAAAAACCATGCCAAATTTTATAAATTAAAAATATAATTTTTAAAAATTTGATTCTATTTTTAAAATTTTATTATTCAAATGTACTTTTAATAAATAAATATATATACACACACTAAAAAGATATTATGAAGAAGCAAATATAACTTTATAAAAATGAAATTGTTGGAGCCAATATTTACTCTGAAAAGATTATTTTAAATTCAATGATTATAAATGATTATCAATTAATTGCAAAAACCACTTATGGAGAGAGTTTATTAACTTATTACACTCAAACTTCTAAAGTATTATAATTGTGAAATTGTGTCTCGATAGTGTTTAATAATTAATTTACTGAAACTATTTAGGAAGCGATAGCTATTCAAACTAAAATTTTGATAGTACTAAGATTATAAATATAAATCTAACATGATTTTTTTTTACTGCAACAACTAGTTTATTTTAGGGAGTCAAATATGACAAAAACATTTAATAGAATTAGTAAAATTGTAACCATATTTATGTTTAAAATTTTTTCAAACATAGTACTTTTAAAAAAAAAAAATTGAAGTCCAATTTTAAAATGACAGTTTTACTCAAATGATATATGTGTATCGTATATCTGTAATATGTTTGACTACTAATATATGTATTTAATATATATCTGATATAAGTGTCTGATATTTACAATATGTATGAATATATACATTTGATATACTAATGATATGAGTGTCAGTGCAATATGTATGTGATATACATTTAATATATTATTTATATGAGTGTTTGATATACTATTGATATAAGTGAAAATTTATGCTATATTTTAAAATTTTTAAAAATATATGACGTATTTTAAAATACATAAAAGGTTTTTGCCACCCACATCAATTCCCCTTTGTTTTGAGTATAAATCTATCATAATTAATAATTAAAATCAACTACTTTTTTTAGTACAACATCTGAAGAGAGGGATCGAACTCATCCTTTTGATTGGAAATATATGTCATTGAGTTATGTTCACTTTGACAAATTAATTCATTTTTATCCTATGAATTATCTAATTATTATTATTAAAGTGAGTTATAAAATTTAGTGGAACCACTTCACAATTATTGACATGTTACATTGTTGGCTTTCATGTGACATAATGGATCATTTATTAATTAATAATATGGAACATATCTTATAAGATCGGAATGAAACCAATAAGTTAACAAGGGACCATTATACCTACTATATATTCTTTATCATTTATTTTTTATTCATTTCCAATAATTATATTAAAATTATATTTTTATAACAACAAAAATATAATTTAGCACTACAAAACAAATGTTAGAGATTATTGGATCTGTTAGAGAATAACAATTTCTATATTGTTGTAAATTCTGTCATCACGACTCATTTTTGTTCAATGATATTTTTTAAATATTTATGGAAAATAAAGAATAGTATTAAAGAATATTTGGAAATAAAGAATAACGTTTAGGCGTATTTTCTTAAATTTAGTATAAAATATTTGAAAAAAAATATTTATTTTAAAAATAAATCTATCTCCCCCAAGATAGAGCTACCTGCCATGCCATCCCACATGATTCACATTTTAAATGCACAGTTCTCAAATAATTTAAAATTATTAATTCCTTTTCTTGTTGTTTTCAATAAAAATAAATTTGACATTGCATTCTCATCATCAAAAATCTCAGATGTCTTCAAATGCTAAAAGGATAGGATTTCCAAGCTGTTGAATCCAGACATCAGCGTATTAATTGATCTGTCCACCAATTTTTTTTTCTTTTTTGTTTTTTTGGAAAAATAGACTAATTCATCAATGTATGTGAGGATCAAAAGGAAAAAAAAAAGAAGCCTATATAAATACCCTTTAATTAAGAGATATAGTTGTTGAATCATAATTATAAAAACATTAGATTTTGTAGATCAAATAGAAGTAGGGAGTGTAATCTAAATTATATATATATATGATTTTGTAGATAATTAAGATAATATATTTGAATTATTATTATTAAAAAAAGAAGAGAAAATATTTTAACAAAGATGCTAAATTCTTTATACAATTTGAAACATTTGAGTTACCAAATTAAAATTAAAATATGCACAAATATTTTAAATAATAAATGCAAAAATATTAATTATAAAAAAATATTAACAAATAAAAAACATAATAATATAGTAATTATAAAATAACAAATAATAATAATAGAGATTCTAAGAGCAAGACATCGAGAAAAAACTAAAAATAAAGAGAAAATGTAGTTCAAATTGTTGGTGAAAAATGGGTAGAAAAGAAATGCAAAATTTTTGTTACACTAGTTATGATAGCCAGCTGGAATATATGTTCCTCACTGTCATTGACACTTACTCTTTTTTCAGAGGTCGGGTGTTCAAAAGTTAGAAATACTAATTTTGTCCCTGTACTTTTAGTTTGGTTCATTTTAGTTTCCGTACGAAAATTATTATTTTGGTTCCTGTACTTTAAACTTTGGTTCATTTTAGTTATTGTACTTTGAAAATGTTTATTTTGATCTTTGTACCTTTAAAAAGTGATCATTTTAATCCATATTTGAAAAATTTTAATACAAATTTTATATATAAAGAAAACTCTTTAGTATAAGGTAATATTTACATTTCAAGAAATATATTGATTTTATTGTCGCGTTGAAATTACGATAGAAAAAAAAAGATTAAGAATAAAGTTAAGGGACCAAAATTGTTAACTTTTAAAAATATAGGGACCAAAGTGAATATTTTGAAAGTAGAGGGATTAAAATGAACAAGAATTGAAAGAACAGAGACCAAAACAAATATTTTGAAAGTATATGGACCAAAATGAACCAAAACTAAAAATAGAGGGACCAAATTAATATTTTAGTAAAAAAAAACGACGAATAATCATGACAAAGAGTGTGTATATTGATCTAATCATTTAATGCGGTGATATTGAGAAATCAAAGTCAAGAACGAACCCTCATTTACCTTTGAATGTTTCATTCTAAATTGTATTTTTTTTTATTTAAGACAATTATATCTACGAGAGTTATAAGATAAAATTTTATCTCCACCCACATATATTGTACTAAAATATTTTTTTTTTCGTTCAATAAATTGTTGTGTAAGAGATTGAATTATGAATCTTCGAGATGGTTTTAAAGTACCTTGTCCTTGTCTTGTCAACTTGAGATATACAAAGATTAACTGTATTATTTATGATTCATCATTAAGTTAAGGTGAAGCATATCTTAATGACACCTATTCCTTCTCTAGAGATCCGATGTTCAATTAACACCTACTCATTCTTTAGAGGTCGAAGGTTCAATTGTCTACTCTCACTTTATTTTACTAAAAAAAAAGACTAGTCATGACAAAGAGTGTGTATACTGATCTCATCATTTAAATGCAGAATCAAATCAAGAACAAATGCTTATTTACTTATGAATTTTTCAATCTAAATTGTTTTTTTTTTCTTTTCAATTTAAGACAATTATATCTACAAAAGTTATAAGATAAAATTTTATCTCCACCCATGTTGTGCTAAAAAAATATTAGCATTTTTTTCTAGTTAAATAATTTTGTGTAGGAAATCGAATCATCGAGGTTTGAAATGATTTTAAAGTGCCTTGTCCTTATCAACTTGAGCCATACAAAGATTAGCTTTATTATTTATGATTCATGGTTGGTTTAAGGTGAAGCATATCTTAATGTTTCAAATATTTTATATTTTCCTTTTATTTTTCAAAGAATTGATTCATCGTTGGTTTAGGGTGAAGCATATGTTAATGTTTCAAATATTTTATATTTTCCTTTTATTTTTCAAAGAATTTCAAAATATTAAATTTGTCGAGAAATGGAAAGTACACACATTTCTACTTTGTAACATTCCACAAAAAACAAGTATAATGACTTTTAGTAATCCATCCCTAAAAATGGCATATAAACAAGAACTTTGAGCCTTGTGGTATCACCTACTGTGAAATCTTGAGTTTAAACTCTGCACTAGTCACAGTATTATTCAGTCCAGAACAACGAGTCTAGAGACAGAAAATCCACATTGTAACTGGCATCAATTCGTAATCCCATAGCATATGCAAACCCCTAGAATCAAACTATTTTGTCTTAGAACCACATAACATAAATGGTAAAAAAGAAAATAGTGCACAAGTACAATTACATCAACAAACTTTAGATAGAGATACTATTAGGAATTCCTCTGCCAGTGAGCCCTTCACTACTACTTGGATACAACAAAGTGTACTGCACATTTGTTGGCCCAACTCGATTCTTCAACTTGGGATCTCGATTCCTCTTCAAAATCTCACGTTCAATCTCTTCCAATCTTTTCCCAAACTTTTCAAAAGCTTCCAATGGCTGCTGGTCACAGGTCCACTCAAGGCTCTCTCTTTTCCCAAGATAGATCTCATCAGAAGAATGCCTCGACAGAATCTCAACCAATGAAACTCCAAGAAGAGTTTGCAATTGTGCATTAATTGTTCTGAGAAAAGCCTTCTCAGGATCCGCCTCGAGTTCCAAGTATTGTGGAGTGCCTTTTTCAGGCATGAATCTTCGGCTTATTGTCGGGCGATTTGGAGTGTAGCCTCCATAAGGGTATTGGCCAAAATTGACTGCGGCGTGAAGGGCTGAAGAAATCCATATGATGGTGGTGCATGTTTGTACTAGATCTTGTAAACTTTGCATTTTTGGCCACCATGGTCCGTCTTTTTTGTCGCCGTGGCCCTTCTCTCGGACCTCTTTCCACCACGATTGAAGTTCGATGTCGTTGCAAACCGCATCATCGTTGTTGTAGTAGGAGGAGCAGTAATCTGTGACCCATGTTTGGATTGCTGACCAAATGTCGAGTCCATCAACAGCAAAGGGATAATCTTCTATTAGGAGTTTGAGTCCATGAGGGGAGTTTGGGTCCTCAATTGCTATTCCTCTGAGAATAGAAGACTAGTTTTAACGTTTAAAAGCATAAAAGATTAAAGTAAATTAAGGTTAATAGCACATGATCAAAATAAACATTTAGAAAATATAATGACAAAAATAGATGAAAGCGGAAAGCATATGGACAAAAAAAAAAGTATTTTAACGAAAACAAAAACAAGAAATCATTATAAAATAAGCATTGGAACTTTCTATTTTTGTAACAATCAATAAAGCTAATGGTCAATATCTATGATTATTTTATACACATCTCGATGCAATTCCAATTGGTTAATTACTAACCTTTTAATGAGATCATTGGGGAGTGCTTGATCAGTAAAAACCCAATCTTTATAAATATAAGATGTCAACTCCATAGAGTACTTTGATTGAAAATGAGTTGCTTCAAGAATCCCATCTGCATTAACAAGGGTTTGCCTTGCAAATGCATTTATATTCATGGTGTCTCGATAATGGGGAACAAGCAACTTGTGAACCGGATGAAGAACACTTAATTGTCTGTTCGTGGCAATTACAAAAGGCTCAATTACTGCATGAGTATTCAACCTAAAACAGGTAAAAAAACACGTTAATTAAACACAATAATCATTGTTTAATCATACATTATAAGAGATTGACATAAAATTAATACCAATGGCTAATGAGCTGATGGTAGCCAGCATCATTTACGGCTACATAAGCTTTGGCTAGCTGCCAAATGGAGCTTTCAACTCCTGATTCTGCTGGGAAGTACAATTTGGTGGTGGCTCCAAGTTCATCTTTCTCAGAGCGTGGCAAGCTTAGCTCGATGACCAGTGGCCTCAAAGTGCCATCATCGTTTAGAAAAAGCAATGTTCTTGTGGCGTAAGTCTTTGTAGAGGTTGAATTTATTCTATTGAGATATGGCATCAGTGCATCGTGGTGATCCAATATATAAAGCTTGTTTTGCTTCGTTGCCTGTACAATACAACACTCCAACAGTGACTAACAATATGGTTTAAACTTTTATTCTCCGGAATTAATCTTATGTTGTGTGTATCCCTGTAATTGAGGCTCGTTGTTTGAATTGAGATACACTATGATCATTATAGGATTTGAATACAAGATCTCATGATCATAAGGCCCCTAGGTTCTTGCCACTTACCCATTCTTGAGGAAACAATAATGTAATTTTCTTTTCATTTTCTTGGAATCGAATTTCCCAGGAAAAAATATATAAATTTGACATTTAAATCATGAAAGGATATTGTTAATGAAAAAAACTCAAAGTTCTAAAATACAAATTTTACTCGATTCATAGCTCGAAGACTCCTCTCCTTTAAAATGAATTATGTAAAAGTGATTGAAAAATCATGATTTAAAAAAGTTGAAGGATGAAACTAGAAACCATATCACGGGTAGAATTGATTCAAAAGTACTTGGGTTAATTGAGAGGGAATGGTTCAAACATCATGATGGTCACCTACCTTAACAATTAATTTTCAAGATGGCCCGAACACTAACGAAAAAAAGAAGGATGAGACTAGAAAATAAAAGAAAGTCCAAATATTAGAAGTTGGACTATTTCATAAATGAATTATCAAACATTTTTTTTTTTATTATAAGATGCAAAAATGAAAAATGCAAAATGAGATAGAAAATTTTCTCAATTCATTTTAGAAAAATTTACCTCTTCTACCGTAAGTCCATTCAAACTATTAATGATGTGTTCTTCAGTTATCTTGCTGTTTTGATCGCCATATATATTGGGATCAAGCTTGCTTAATGGTGGGAACTCCTGTTAATGTCAGACAGATTCAATTAGAGGAATTCAAGAAGAAAATGATCTGCAAAAGTTAATTGTAAACAAAATTTGCAAAAGAAAAACATTATCATTTACTTGGAGACGTCGAATGATTATAGGATTTACTCCCGCCAACATTTCTCTAGCAAATTCTTCATCGGTCCTCCATGCAGACTTACTATCTGTTTAAATAGACCATAGCAAATTTAGTTATTATTAGTATCAGGTACTCACCATAAAATTAACTTAGAGATAAACTTATGTAGTTTATAACCATTTTCAATTATGGATCGTAAATTTAAATAATCATCTCTTCATATTCAATATAAAGAGATTCGAACTTAAAACGTTGTACAAACTATGTTATCATATCAAATTACCCCTTGATTTCAAAACCTTTGTTATACAAGATCTAACACACCTTGACTACTAATATGATTTATTGGAGATCAAAATGTACAGAGATTTAAATTCCAAACCTCCTATAACGTACGTTGAGACTCAAAAGTTTTACTAAAGTTCTATACGTTTTTTGATTCACAGCACGTGATAATAATATATCTAAATTGACAGTTATTGAGAGACAAATTGATCAGGCAACAATAAGGTCGAGATTTGAACTTAGAACCTCCTACAATGATAGCACCCATAAAATTACAATCAAGTGCTAGATATCCATAAATGCATTAAATTTATCCAACCCATCAACTTAAGTGTTTGAGTTGAATGGTGATTTATTCATCTTTTTACATAGTATTAGAGTGGGAGCTCCTGTGTTTGAACCCCTATATTTTCGTTCGGGTTTAGTAGTGGTGGTTTATTAATCTTTAATACCAAGAACTATAAAATCTTAAACTATTAGCACGAGAACAAGTTCGGTCTTTTCGATATTTTAGATATCAAGAGAATATATGTATCCTTTATTGCATACCTTGGATCACTTGGGGCAATGGGAATTTCAGGAACCTTTCACCATCAGATCTGAAAATTTCCTTTAGCAATGGGGCTGGAATGCTCTGCCTAAACTTGTCAAGCAAATTTGTGGGCAGGGGGAAGCCTCCTTCATACAGTTTAAAAACATCTTGGAAGGAGTCAAATTCTCTTGGATTTCTGTTGAAGAGTTCTTCAAGCCCTGGTTTTATTGATTGAGCTATTGATTTCAATGTATAAGCAAGAAAATCGGATTCCTTCAAGTGACCAAATCTTTCGTCTCTAGGAACGTAAATGTTTAATGTCAAAGATGATGACAGTCTACTCTCGTACTTCTTATCTGTTAATTAACCAAAAGAAACATCACATAAATGTTAATACTATAAAAAATATATATCTCTTCATCAAAAAGATCTCGTACGGATTAAGATATTGTTCTTGGTTATAAACTTACATTTATACAATCTTTTTCTTATTTACTAGCCAAATAATTTTATTTATGGATGTTTAAGTTTAAGTCTAATTGTCCACAGTTTTACCATGTTGAATCATTTTAAATGACTTAAAAATAAAATTGTCTCGCCTTTTTTTGAAGGTGCTCGTCCAGTTCTTCCTCTACGTGGATAAGGGTATTGATTTGAGCCTCCAAGAATGGGACGAATATATGTAGAATCACTATCTGGATCTTCTAGATCATTATAGACATCATAGTCATATATTCTATCCCATTCTTGACGTTCTCCGGTTTCATCTCCTCTCAAGTTCTTGAGCTCTTCCTCTCTATACTTGCGAAGTGGCTCCGGTGTTTCATTGGGGAGATATGCCTACAAAAATGATGCAAACCAAATGACATATTTCATCAAAAAGACACACCAACTTCAAGGTTTAGAGTGCATGTCTAGATTAATGTTTAAGCCTATAACGACATTTGATCTCCAATATTATATTGGATCTACTTTAGGTTCGAGTATACGTCATTGTGATTTCGCTTTTGATTCTTCCTAAAATGTCTCTTACTATTCAATGAACTATGTTTATATCTTGAACATTTTCGTATAAAATCCAATGTTTTTTTTATATCTTATATTTTTTTCTTTAATTTATTAAAATTCATGGGATTCAATCTCAAATCAATTAGAGGTATGAGAGAAGTTGTCAATAGGTCTATTATAAATCCCTGTTAGATCTCTCATCTTGAGTATCCTTAACATGTCCTTCAAGACGACAGTTCTTTTAGGCCCACCAATTTTGGCCAGATCGGTTTTTTGAACGGATGTTCATTTGAATTTGCTGGGCTCTGATACTATATCAATATTTATGAGTTTCATTTCAAACCAATCGACAATGAGAGAAATAGCTCATCTTCAACATGTAGATTTCATTTTTGAACCAGATACTCATTTGAACTTATTGAGCTCTGATACCATTTCAATATTCATGCAGTTCCATCTCATAATTAATTGGTAATGAGTGAAGTAATTTATATATATTTGTACATGCAACATGAAATAGGTACAAGCTTAGAAACTAAAATAAGATTTAAATCGAGATATTGATACGAAATTACCTTATTAACAAAGAAAATGCGATCTTTGTTGTACTTTATAGAAGGGTAAATCCAAGAGTTGCAGTCAAAGTGGATTCTTCCCACAAGAGGAACATCTTCAAGAGTGAGTGACTTGAGGAAGAATTTGGTAAAATGGTTATTTCTTATAAAGAAAGCTCCTGGAATTCCCATCTCTTCATCCCAATCAAAAGTGACTTTAAACGTAGTTTCCTTTGGATTTACAGGTACCATTTTGGTAATCCAGTTTTCCAAGTACGCTTTCTTTCCCACCTTTCCTTGAAACTCCTTTTCTGTAAAAAACCACATACAATTCCCGAAAACACATTAATATATTTCCATAGCGAAGAAATGGAAAATCCAAGGAGGACAGCATTGAGGATCCACCCTCTAATCAATGGTAGGTCCAGAAATTTTGTTCATGAGGAATTTGTTTTACTATACTAACTATTATGATTAAAATAACCTCTCAAATTTATAGTCTATATGATGTAAAGTTGAGGAAATAAGGATCGAACTCTAATTGCTTGGGGTTCCACACCGCATATGCACTAAATTGAACTTTTAATTATATGTCTGATGAACCAAGATTAACCATACACTTTTTAAAGTATAATTATCTATAAGCTATAAAATTTAAAATTTAAAACCGAACTCCGATGAGACAAATCCCGAAGGGGTGTTTGAGTGAAAACGAGTAGAGTTGTTAAGTTTGTAATTCTTTAACTCAAAAAGTGATTCGAAAAGTTAATTAGTCTGAAGTTGTTTTCATCTGTATTTGAGATCTACGGAGTTGTTTTAGCTCCGAGTCGTTAGTGCTTCTGATTTAACTTCAAAAGAAGCAGGAAAAAAAAAAGAGAGAGAGGACAAGAAAGTTACCTCGATCTCCATTAACAGAGCTGATGAGCTGAAGAGAAACTCTTGCTCCCCAAAACTCACTGATATTATCAAGAACAGAAGATTGGATTTCATTGTAATCCAAAACATTACTTCTCAATAAAATCACTGTCCCTTTCACCTTCTGCGTTCCTTTTCTTCTGTTTTTTAGACGTGATATGCTATGCAGCAACATCTCTCTTTTTTCTCTCTCTTTATCAGCTTCTGATCAGCTATTGATGAGTCTGAAGAAAACTGGCAAAACCCATTTTGAATTTATAACCAACCAAAATGAAGACTACAATTATTCTTAATTATCAGCTTAGCTGTATATGGTGAGATCATCTTGTCATTCGTCATCAAATTAGCTACTCTTCTTTATAAATTAATGAGTCTTTCTTTAATCAAACAATTGTTTACATGTGGAGAATAGACAAATATGTTTCATTATATCATATAAATAATATATCCCTCTTAAAAGAAACGACAAAAGAACAAAAAAAGAAAAAAATCTAGTTTTAATAGATTCTGCCCTTATCTCTTTGCCCCCTTCTATTAAAAAAAAAGTGAAGGAAAGTAGACTTTTGTTTTGATATATAAAATATATTTTTGGTACATAAAATTTGAGTTTATTTGTCCTTTTGATCTCCAAAATTTTAAAAGATATATACCGTTTTAGTTTCTAAAGTTTAGAAAATAGTTCTAAATATTAATATTCATAGGTTCTATTCGGATCTCATTTTTGGAAATGATACTCGTTTGAATTTGTTGGGTTCTGATACCATACTTTGGTCGGATCCAATTAGGCTCGAGTAGGAATTTGTTGGGTTATGATACCATATTTTGGTCCGATAATTGGAGAGGGAGGATAGAAGACAAATAAGAAAAAGAAGAGAAAAAAGAGGGAGGAAGGGATTTTAGGAGCACGTGGGAATAGTGGCACCGACAAAATGTTGAGAATCCATATATATAAAAGAAACGACATGTTCATTAATCCTTAACATGTCAGAGCAGGAGGTCGATTCAAGTTTCACCAAACTATATTGTCTTTTTTTCCCTTTAGAATACATTGCTTTACAAATTAAGGGCGGGTACCAAACCTTTGATAGAAAAAGAGAGATGCCTTAATTAAGTTGACTTATATTATTATTATTTTTTTTTTTTTGAGAAAAAGTCGACTTTTATTTTTTATGTTTATTTAGTCTTTAATTTTTTTTATTCTACAATTAAAAAAATCGATGTGGCATGAATAATATTTGTAATAAAGGTCACGGTGTGCTAAGATAAAATTTGTAATTCATCCTTCATTTGTCAATGGTTTATATGAACTTCGATTCTTATTTAAAGAAATAATTTTACATGGTTAGTATACTGAGCAATTTGGCCAAAGCCTTCAGTTTATGATTCAAATAATGATAATACACGTAATAATCATTAATAATGAAAGCCAGAGCGAGTATAGCTCAGCGGCAATTGATATATATCTTCAACTAAGAGGTTGTGAATTTGATCTTCCAACCTTGTACTAAAAAAAATCATGAATAATGAGACATTAAATACAAGATAACTTTTGCAATTAACTCCAAGTTTTATTTTATATCCTTGTTTCTTGTGTGACCGTCTTTTCTTCTTTCTTGTTAAACTTTTTTAATCTAAGATTTGGATTTTCTTTGTGTGACTGTCTTTTCTTCTTTCTTGTCTAACTTTTTTAATCTAAGATTTGGATTTCTTTATAAGTATAGCTTAAACCATTATGAGTGGTTTATTTGGTCCAAAAGGGCAGGGTAATTAAGAAGGAATGGATTCAAATATCATAATAACCACGTACCTTAGGAATTAGTAATTCCAATTAAGTATAGCTTAAATATCATTCACACGTGAATGTTATATATATTATTTATGTTTTAACATGTATACACTTTTTCTTTTCCATCATAGTTTTTTTTTTCTTTTAGTTTTTTTTTACTATTTGAGAATTTATGATGGACAATAAATTAACACAGAATTGTATTAGTTTAGATTTTGATTATGTGTATATATATAGAGAGTTGAATTTCTTTTAGTTTTTCATTTTAGACACTTAAATGCCACCTACAGCTGTCATCATAGTGAGTAGAACTTTTTATTATAAATTTCTTAGGAGTAATGCTTAATTTTCCACCATTGGAACATACATTTTAATAAATAAAAAAAATTATTTAATATCTGGCATCCAGATATTATTTTGTTCAATTATTGTTAAGAACAATTAATTATATTGTGTGTGAAAGAAACTTGAAAGGATGAGAAACAAAAAGAAAGGCAACCATCCAACTGCAACTACTCCATAATTGTCGTCTTTATGGTAGAGAATAAATAAATGAAAATATCCCGAAATTGACTTTGGCAATGGCAATGATGATAAGCTTTAAAGGATTCTATTAATAAACTATACAATATTTGCAACTTAACAAAATAAAATATTTTTTATCACTATTTTTAAATCAAAATCAGGTATTAAATTTTATCGACACTTTCAAACGTCTATGAGTTCGGCATCGACTTAAAAGGTAAATCAACGTTTTTATTATATAGTAAAAAATCCAACAAAATATTTTTCAAATATCAACAAAATAGTGATGCCCAATAGTCATAATATTAATAATAAAAATAATGAAGAATTAATAATGAGGATTGAGAGTGTGTGGTGAATCCTCACAAAAATTGTATACGGAAAATGCAGCTTACCTTAATTAAGGTTACTCTTTTTCTTATGTATGGAGAGAGGGGGTAGGGATTGAGTAGAAAGTTTCTACTCCCTTCAACGCTCTGACTATTGGATATCCTTCATACAAGATATATAGGAGCGCTTGACTCTATTGTCAACGCGCTTGATCATACCACGGGTTGGATTCCTGACTCGCTCCTTCACGTGTGACAACTTTTTTATCTGATAATAGTCAAATTTGTAATTTTCTTAAAATAGTACATATAAATTGTAATATTTTACTTTTTCCATGTTTCATATGCCACCAACCCCTATACGAGGATAATATACAATAATCTCTATAGTTTTTTTTAGTACAATATGTGGGAATGGAGAATCGAACTCACAATCTATTGACCGAAAATATATGTCAATTACTGTTGAGCTATACTCGCTTTGACACAATAATCTCTACAGTTGTTAGTTATCTTTCCATTTTTCAACCTAAATTAAAAATATATTTTATATTACTTTTAATATTCACGTGTATATATATAACTCTCTTTGTCCTTTATTGAGAGATGACAGATGTGGGGTTCCTATACCATCAATTAGCAAGGTTGGAAAGTGACACTTGAATTTCTTTTTTCTATTCATTATGTGAATACAAGACTGTAACATGTGAAAACGTCAGAAAGAAAAAAAAATGGTAAGATTGACTTTTTAGATATATTGCTTTAGGTTAACAAGAAGAATGTTTCAACTCCCCTAAACAATAACCTCTTACGTACGTACGGATATGTAGACAGTGTACATATTTGAGACAAAAAGGTTAAAGTACCAGACTTAGAAAAAAAACTTTCAAAATGAAAATAAATAATAAATATACATGTATATATTTATGTTTTTTTTTCTCTTTCTTTTAAACAATAAACTTATTCATACATACCTCTAGAATATTTTAATATTTTTATGTAATAATATAAAAATATACTTTAATACTTTAATATTTTTATTCATACAACGCTGTACATTTTCCAAATTTACTGTCTTTCTTTACCGGTTGAATTGACACTTTCATCAAATTAGTGTATTTCCAAGTCCAATAACTACAGAATAAATATTTTATAGTGTAACGTGATAGGAGCTATTATTTGAAACATTTGGTTGGAGTGAAACAATCGCACCTTTTCGGATATCTCAAAGACAGTTGCTTCACTTTGGGACATCATCATAGATGTTTCGTCATGGTCTTCCAAATCCAACTTCTTTTGTAATCATGATATCACTATCATTTCTCTTAATTGGGTTGCCTTTATCTAATCAACCCCTTCTTGTCTAGTATGTTTCTCACACACTCCTTAATGAAATGATATCTATTTTCTAAAATATATATATATATATATATATAATTTAAGTAAACCCTTTTTTTGTTAACTTATATGTAATTTGTTCCGTTTTAATTTTGTAGGTTGTACTTTCAACAAATTTCATGCATGGTCCTCAACTTTTAGGTTTATTTTAATTTTTATCTTTATTCCACGAACTTGTAAAGGTTATTTCAATCTCACAACATTGAAACATCAATAATTCCATAAAACACAATCACTAAATAAAATAAAAATAAAACCCAAAAAATATCAAGAAGCAATACAGATTAACAGTTTTTTTTAATTATCCCGGAGGTGGTGGCCCTTTAACCTTTTTATCTGAATCCAAGACCTCAAAGATATTCCTTCAAACCTCAAGCTTCCCAAGCTATCCGTCGAGGACAATTCAAATTAACATATGGCTTTTCCCATTGTTTCCATTTGTATTGCTTACTGCCTATTACTTCGTTAACTAACAATTAGGAATCCCTCTACCTATGGGGCCTTGTGTAGGATAAAGATTCCGTATCTTAAAGATAAGAGACCTAATAAAAATATTGATTTATCTTAAAGGGTTCAAACACAGAACTTCCCACTTTGATACTATATGTTAAAAACGAATAAGCTATCGCTCAACCCAAAAATTTAAATTGATTGATTGGGTAAATTTAATTTATACATTGTTGAACAAAATGAAGATTAACAATATAATTATTAATTATTGTCTCAATTTGATATGATCATGTTCTTTCCTCTCATGTGAAATCTCAACTAATGTGTCTTTTTTGTTTTTTAATCCAAAAAACTTTCAATATCAATCTTATACAAGTATATTTTTTAATTTCCACAAGCTCATTTATATAATCTATCCCTCTGAAAAATAACTTTCTAACTCAATAGATTTTGCCCTTTATCCTTGGTCTCCAAATTAAAAATATAAAATTTAGAATAAATGGTAGATGACAAAATTTCAATTTTAGTTATTGTATTTTCTACTTTTATGTATATTTAATATGTTTCTAAATATATGAAGTCAAGTATTCAAAATTAAGTATAAATGGTCTTTGAAAATACATATGTACGTATATCTTGGAGAGAGTTTTGAAGAGCTAACTGGTTAAGAAAAGAAGAAGGAACAATAATTTGGTGAGTTGGTATTTTTAATGTTTAATTGTATGCTTATTGGTAATTAACATTGATCTCCAATCAAGAGGTTGAGTTCGAATCCCCTCTCAACATGTTGTCTATATATATATATGTCACGAGCACTAAAAAATAAAAAGTAAAATTTTGAATAATGCCCTTCACTTTAACGTGATTAATATTATAAACTTAATTAGAATTGACCAATCAAATTTTCTTGACTTTGGAGTATTAAGGCAGTAATAATAAAATATACATTTTTTTTCTAAACTATTTATCTATTTTATTTCTGTGGCTAAAAAAAACTATTAATAATTTATAACACATTAAGTCTTTCAAAAATATATATCTGATTACTTTTCCTCATGTATAAATAAAAAATTAATAAACATAAAAAGTTGCAAAAATGAAGATAAAGCTAGAGAAGTACATTGCCCATCCTTATCCCGAAATTATTTAATTGTAAGAATAATAATTCTAGTAGAAGATAATCTTGTCTTTTGTGAGCTGAGAGGATTTGACTACTTTGTGCCACTAAAAATTTAATTTGCAATTAAGCCGAAGGAGGTACAATTGTCACCAGAGGACTTTATTTTAGAATTTATGATAAGCGATGTTAGGTTCAGTAACTGATGTATATCTTCGATCAAAAGTTGGTTGTGAATTCGATCTCCATTCATACATGGTGTACTAAAATAAACTACAACGACCAAGCTCTATTAATTATAGTATTTTATTTTTTGTAATAATTCATTTGAATACATAATGTTTTTTTTTAATCAAATATTGGTAAAACCAATTATTGTATGTGGAAAAAACTTTTTTGAGAACATATGTGAAAAGAAACTTGATACTTTGGTAGGGTAAACAAAAGACAACTCCATACATGCTAATAGACAACATTTTGTAACTTAAATTTTTAAAAATTAATAATAAATAAAAAATCTATTCTCATCCCTATACTTTTAATTTTTGTTCATTTTGGTTTATGTATTTTCGAAATATTCAGTATGAATCCCTATAATTTTAAAAGGTGACCTTATCCCTTATCATCTTCATTTTATCTTTTTTTTTTAATCACAAGTTATAACATGACACTTTACTCACTAATTTTATTGGAAATATAGCCATACATTTGTATTAAAGAGTGTAAAAGATCAATTTACACGGTATAAAAATTGTGTTTCAGTTTTATAAGAATCGAAATAGTAACCTTCTAAAAGTACAAAGATCATGCAGAAGTATTGAGAGTACCTGAACTAAAATAAACAAAAGTTGAAAGTAGACATATATCAAAATGAACTAAAATAAAAAAATATACAACGTAATGAAAACAATATTTGATCAAACAAAAAGAAAATGGTGCAAAACTTGAAATAACTAACGAGAAGTCATTCAAATATATTACATATTGGAAATACAATCATCACAAGGTATATTCAAATGGAAATGCTATTGGGAATTCCTCTACATGTAAGGCCTTCTTGGCTGGTGGGAAATAGTAGAGTATAGGGTATGTTAACAGCTCCAACTCTATTTCTCAACATGGGATCTTGGTTTCTCTTGGCAATAATTTGTTCAATTTCAGCTAGTTTTCTCCCAAATCTGTCAAACGCTGCCAAAGGCTGCTTATCAAAAGTCCACTCAGGATTGCTTCTTTGCCCTAAATATATCTCATCAGGAGAATGTGTAGATAGAAGTTCAATCGTTGAGATCCCCAAAATATCATCTTTTTGTAGCTGTGAAGTGAATGTTTTCAAGAAAGCGGTTTCGAAACTCGACTCGAGCTCTCGATAATCGTACGTGCCCTCTTCAGGTAGGAATCTTTTGCTGGTTGTTGGTCGATTGGGAAAAAAACCACCGTATGGATATTGTCCAAAGTTGACTGCAGCATGAAGAGCGGAAGAAATCCATATGATGATGGTGCAACTGTTTATGAGCTCTTCAAGACTCGCCATCTTTGGCCACCATGGTTCGTTTTTCTTATCTTCATGTCCTTTTTCTCGAACCTCCTTCCACCATGATTCGAGCTCAGTGTCGTTTTGGATCGCTTTATCGTGTTCGTAGTAGAAAGAACAGTAATCTGTTACCCATGTTTTGATTGCTGTCCAAATCTCAAGTCCATCAACAGCGTATGGATAATCCTCTATTAGTAGTCGGAGTCCATGTGGGGAGCTTGAGTCCTCAATTGCAACTCCTCTAAACAAAGGGAAATTGATTAAACTTTTTTTTAGTACAAACATAAACATCTATGTGGGGTGCAGGATTTGAATCTCCAATTCAAAGGAAGGATGATTTAATTTACTTGCAAGAGTGAATTTACATACCGAATGATCTCTATCGGGAATCCTAAAATCGGCCATTGAATTCACTCCACATGCATTTAGCTCGAATTAACTAAGGGCTCGTTTGGTAACATTTCCGTTTCTTGTTTTTCGTTTCCAATTTTCTTAGAAAATCTAAATATTTTTCAACTAACTTTGTTTATTGTTTCTCCATATTTTGAAAACATTCTCACAATTGTATAGAAATTTTGGAAACAACAAAAACTAGTTTCTCCTTTCTTGTTCCCATGTCCAATGTGTTCCAAAACATAAATAAAAAGATTGTTTTATCATACTTGAATTCTTAGAGGTTGGAACAATACAATACATTTTTCTTCATTAAAAACAAAGAAACAGAAACGTTGCCAAACGAGCCCTAAGTAACTCGATCTTACACTCAAGTTTATGATTGGGGCACAAAGAAATGCTTTCCACTATCGTAGACTAGAAATATATATTAAGGGGTTGCCTAGCTATTTTTTGTTGAATGATAGTCGAGGAAGCTAGTTTCTTTTATAGCGGTTGGCCAAAGCTACCCAGCTCAAAAACGAAATGCTGGACCTCGTAGGTCATAATAATGGAAGTCGGCCGTCAACCCTGATCTTTAGAAAGTTTTCTAAGCACAGTGGTCGAGTGGAGGTCAGCATCTCCGAACTTGGATCGACATGTTCATGGATCAAAGGATTTTATGCACACAAAAACAAATACTTCTACTGGTAGAAATTTGGGTGTTTTTAAACATACAAAATCCTTTTGTGGTGTTTTTTACGACGTCACCTATACCCCATCACGAAAGGTATTCTTAAAAAACGTCACGAAAAGTAAGATTCGTGATAGTTGAAAAACGTCAGACAAAATATAGATATTTATAACGATTTCAACGGTGTTTTACTGTTCATTTACGTCACAAAAACCTCAAATTCTAGTAACGTTCTAAAAAATTAGAAAACTAAGAAACAAAATCGTTAATCAAACGTTATCTAATAACTCATAACAACATGAATGAAATGACAAGTATTACCTCATAATTAGATCAGCAGGGAGAGCTTGTTGAGGGAAGACCCAATTTTGGTAAGCAAAAGAAGACATCTCCATAGAATACTTTGATGGATATTGAGTTTTCTCGACAATGCCATTAGCATTGATGAGGATTCCCCTGGCAAGAGCATTAATGTTCATGGTGTACCGAAAATGAGGAATAAGCAACTTGTGTATTGGATGAACAACGCTTAGTTGTCTATTTGTTGCAATCACAAATGGCTCAATTACTGCGTGAGTGTTCAACCTACAAATATCAAGCAAACAAGATATAAATATATACTACGTGCAAAGAATAATTTACCAAATGTAGATATATTTTTAGAATTACTTTTGGGTTCGATACCATATTAATATTTGAGGTTTCATCTCAAAATAAATTGACAATGAGACAAGTAGCTCACTTATATTATAAACATTGGTTGAGATTCTTTGCTGGATCCAATTTTTGTATTTGATGCTCGTTTGAGTTGCGATACCATAATTAACATTCACATGAGGTTTCATTTCAAAGTCATTTGATTTTGAGGTGGAACCCCACAAATATTGACATGGTACAAGAGTCCATAAAAACTCAAACGAACATCTATTTCAAAGTGGGATCCGATCAAGAATCGATGAACTAAAATAGCCATGATATTGAGGGATATGTATAATAGACATGGACTACTCCTTCCATTATCAACTGGATTTGTGATTCGAGAGTTTTACCAATGGCTGACGAGTTGGTGATGGCCAGAATCGTTGACACGCACATAAGCCTTAGCTAATTGCCAAAGTGATTCATGGACTCCTTGTTGAGCCGGCAACAATACTCTACTGATGGTGCCATATTCGTCTCCTTGAGGGTGAGGCAAGCTCAATTCAATCGCCAAAGGCTTCAAAGTCCCATCATCTTTTAGAAACAGAAGTGTTCTTGTAGCATAAGTCTTCGTGGGAGTAGTGTTTATTTTTCTAAGAAATGGAATTAGTGAGTCATGGTGATCCAATATGTAGAGCTTGTTTTGCTTGATTGCCTATACAAGAAAAGAAAGCACAACATCATGACCTTTTATAACCTCTATTTAGAAGTTTAAATCAAAAGTTGGTTTCTAAAAAAAAATAATAATAATAACTAAGAACAGAACATGGAATCATTTGATTTGGTAGAATGATTTTTCCTTTTTTAAGTTTACCTCATCCACCGTAAGTCCATTCAAACTATTAATTATGTGTTCTTTACTTATCTTGCTATTTTGATCGCCATAAACATTGGGGTCAAGCTTGCTTGATGGTGGGAATTCCTGTAGTTAATATGTAAAATTCAATTAGAGGAAATTAAAATGGAAAAATATGCAGAAGTTAACTCTAAAATAAAATTTGTAAAAAAAAAAAAAAAAAGCATTGGCATTTACTTGAAGACGACAAAGGATTGTTGGATTCGCTCCAGCCAACATTTCTCGGGCAAACTCTTCATCAGTCTTCCAAGCAAATTGATTCGCTGTTTAATTAAACCATAACAGCTGAGTTATTAATTATCAGCTTCAAACACCTCTTATAATATTAGTATTTAATTTGATGATGAATATGTAAATTAACATTATATTAAATTAAATCACATGAAAGTTCTGCTCAGCCATATCCTTTTTCATATGTAGCCATGAATATTGTTTTGATTCACCTTTTTTTTTAACAAAATTTTGGTTCACAATTTTGATATAAGTGTGGATATAATCAATCTAAAATGAATAGAAAAACAATAGAACGCACAACGTCTTAATTGGAGATACACGACAATTATAGATCGGTAAAAATATTGAAACTTAAAGAGTTGTTATATTATATCACATCCCAAATTACCCTTAGTCTCATTTCTAACTAAAAAGAAATTATTTTGACTAAGGAACCAAACACATTTGACTAATGAAAATGAAAACAATAAAATAACAATATATATGGAGATTTGAACGGTAGACCTCTCATTAAAATGTCATTTTAGATTACCCTAGACTCGAAAGTTATAATGCTCTAACTAGGTTATTAAGAAGACTTACATGTTATATCAATTTACACCATCTGATATTTCGTCTCTACTTATTGTATGTTTTTCACATACTTTTTGAATGAATGGTACATTGTTTCCTCTTTAAAAAAAAACCCACAACGGTCTAAACTATTAACTTTATGAAAGGGAGATGATAACAATGTTAAATTTGAATTAATATCAATATATTAAATCACACTACAAGAAATTAATTATTTTCTAACCTAATCAGTACATTTTGGTCAAAGATTATTAATAAGAGTACAAATAAAGTCCTTAATTGACTAAGAAAGAGAGGTGTACACGACAATTATTTATGAGGTTTTTTTGAATGAAACTAAAAACAAAGTCACGAAGCTTATACCTAAAATATACAATATCATATCATTGTATAGATACATAAATCTGACAAAAATTGTGAGTGGCGAGTAAGGCAAGGTCTTTCACCTTCAGCTGGTAGACCGATGGGAAGAAGATTTTTTTTTTTTTGTTCGAGGAGAAGAGATTAAGGGTGCACACCCACCTAGATATAGTAAGATTTCTTTTGTTCGAGGGAATAGTTGGTTCCAACCCACAAGCCAAAACTTGGATAGAGCTTGGACGAATAAACGACTATTAGGGAGTATGGTTAGGAACAATTATTTCGATTAGTACGAGGTGTTTCGGGTGAAAACAAAAAAAAAATTTAGATAAAAATTCTTGTATGACTATGAAATTGAGAAATTTAAACTTTGAAGTAAAGATAAATAATAATGTATGGGTTAAGAGTAGTACATACTTTGGATCACTTGGGGCAATTTGAGGCGTGGGAAGGGACGATGTCTCTCATAGAGTGTAAATACATCTTGGAAGGAATCGAATTGTGTTGGATGTCTGCCAAGAAAAACTTGAAGCCCTTTCCTAACAGATTGAGCCATTGATTTAAGTTGATGTTTAGTGAACTGGTACTGCTTCAAGTCACCAAATCTTTCATCGCTAGGAACATAAATGTTTGAGCATCTGCTCTCATATCTCTGATCACCTGTTAATGAACCACAAACATGACAACAATTCTAAAAAAATACTTTACATATTGGAAATTAAAGGATTATCCCTTATATATCAACCATTTATGCGTTCAAAGAATGCTTTTGATCCGTATACTTTCGTTGGAGTAACAATTATGTGGTCTATGATTTTTTTTTCTTTTGAAAATTGAATATACTATTGATTATGATGGAGGCGAGAAACATACCTAAAAAAAATGAAGCTTAAATAAAAGCACTTCAATGAAGAGAAATTGTAGTGAAATCACAATTGCAAAAGAGAGAAGATTTTACATATCAAAGAGAAGCAGTAACCGTAATATGCTTCCACAGATTAGTAGATCACGAATTTCGTGGAATCGGAGAAAGTTCTATTGTTTCGCTCTAGCCAAGTGTCCCAAAGAGTATAGCCAATGATATTGCTCTATAAAATGTTTTTCCAGTTGGTAAGCGGGATGGAAAGGCTTTCAATTATGAATTGATCAATTTTATTTGGGAGAACAAAGCTGGTTTGGAAGGAGCCAAAGGGCAATGAAGGAAGAGATGGTCCGATAATTCTAAAGCCACTTTGCAAAGATGGCACCAACCAGGGCTAATAAAAGGGTGAGGTAGACGCTTCTCAAGTTTCTCCCGTGTGTTAAGAGCTCGACAGACTCTTTACCATTCAAACTTTAGTTCGTTACTAAATTGGTTATATAATCTAGGAGTTGAACTTTAATATGTAACAATTTATCCTTATAATTTAGAACGATTTAGTCCTTAAGTTGTTTATAAATTTCAATTACTAAATTATTATATAAAAACATAAATTAAAAAATATGAAAATAGTACAGAAAAACACGTGACCAAAATAAAATACAGTTATGTCTCAAAAAAAACATAAATTTACTTGAAAAAAAAAAAGAACAAAACGTTACTTGCCTAAACTTTTAATTAAAAAAATAGGTAAAGATCGCACCTAAAAAAGGACAAAGAGAAACCTAACAAGATTTATAAAATACACGCAATTACATGACCCTCTAATTATCAATTGGTTTTTAGATGAAACTCATGTAATCTATAATCATATCTTCAAGACACGATTTCGACCATTTTTTTTTTATTATGAATTGTAATTTTATAAATTTAAATATTAATTTTGAGAATAAATTGGTTATTATATTTTAATAATTCTGCATTTTTTCAAAATTTCTTCATACATTTTTAAAAAGTTTTTTAAATTAAAAAAAAAAGAATTGATTATCAAACATAATCTTAAAATTAAAACTAAAAACTAAAATAGGAAACCAACTGGTTACCAAATTGCCCATTAAACTTTTGAAATTTCAAGGTTGGTTTTAATTTTTTAATCATTCTTTATTTTAGTCTTTACACTTTTTTATTTTTTATTTACTTTCGCTTTCAAGCTTTCAATATTCTTTGAACTCCACGCAGATCTCTTTCTAGTAATTTAGAAATTAAATCAAATCTTACCTTCAAAAATAAGTGGTCGTCCGGTTCTTCCTCTTCGAGGATAAGGATATTGGATCCCTCCAAGAATGGGACGAATTGTAGAATTGGATTTTAGGTTGCTAACATCGTTGTAGACGTCATAATCGTATATTCTATCCCATATTTTACGCTCTCCTTGTCCATCTCCTCTCAATTTCATGAGTTCGTTATCTCTGTACTTTTGAAGTGGCTTTGGTGTTTCATGGGGAAGATATGCCTAAAAAAAAAAACAAACGAGAAGAAGAGAAAGAAAAGATAGGTAGGAAAAAATGTTTGGAATTAGATACGCAATGTGATAGAGATGTGCTAGAAGAAAAAAAAGAATAACAATGAGAATTTTAGAAAGAGAAATAAAAAGTTGGAAGAATTTTACTCAATAACATCAATTTAATATGTATTTTAAAAAATGTCAAAATATTTTTTTTTATCAAATATAACGTAAGTATTAACTTTTTCTTTGGTTTTGCTATTACATTTTGTTTGAGTTTAATTTAAATTATGTTGCTGTCATCCAATTTTAAAATTTTTGCTATATTTATTTTATGCTATGCGAAATGAAAGCTTTAGAGAGGAAAAGAATTAGAAATATTTTTCTTTTTTTCTTTATAATTAAAAAACGTTAAAAGAGAAATAGATTTCTGGGATAGAGATACGTGAAAGAAAATTTTTGAGCATATAAAGAAAAGGTGAGATTTTGAAAATATAAAAAAAATTGAAAAACATAATTTGTTGTTAAATTTTTCGTGTTTAATTTAGATTATGCTATCATTATAAATTTCAAAATTTCTATTTATTTTATGATATTTAGATTAATGCTTTCAAATGAAAGTTTAGAGAGGAAAAAGAATTCAAAGTAAAATTCCTTTTTCTTTTAAGTTCAAAAAAGTGAAAGAAAAAAAGTTGAGCATATAAAGAAAAAGTGAGATTTTACCAATATTTTCATTTTTTTCCAAAATTTCTTATAATTTCAATTAAAAAAAATTGAAAGCCACGTATTTTTTTAATACACCAATATGTGGAGTCACACCGTGTTCTATACCACAACATGTGGAGACACAACTATTTAATTAGAAACAAGTGTCTTAATCAACTTAACTAAGTTGACACATTAACAAAATTTACAAATAATTGTCAAATCGATAGCTTTGAAAGTTAATTAGTGCTGGGTTTGCAAAGAGAGTTCAAACAAAGTCTCGTATTGATTAAGGTAAGAGGAAAATTATCTTCATTGCTACGAGGCATTTTAGGTGAAACCAAATAGCAAAGCGCTATGTTCAAAACGGACAATATGATCATACCATTGCAGAGATACGTGGGATACTCAGAGTACCATTGACTTTAAAGAATTAGAATACGAGAAGTAAACAAACAAAAGAAATCACCTTATTGGCAAAGAAAATGCGACGATCCACGGTGAGGTGATAAGGGTAAATCCAAGAGTTACAATCAAAGTGGATGTTTCCGACGGCAGGAACATGCATAAGTGTAAAAGAGTTGAGGAAGAAAGAAGTGGTCTTATGGTTGTTTGTTACGTAGAAAGCTCCTGGAATTCCTATTTCTTCATCCCAATCAAAACTTACTTTGAACACAGTATTTTCCCCTTCAATTTCAGATTTTTTGCTGTCCAAGTAAGCTTCCATTCCCACTTTCCCTTCAAATTCCTTTGCTGCATATGAGAAGTATTTATTAGATCTGTATAATCGAGACTCGTTGCTTGGATTGAGTGCACTATAATTGACTCAGGGTTCAAACTTGAGACCTTACAGTAGGTGGTATCACAAGGTTCTAAGCACCCTTGCCACTACGCCATCCAGAGAGACATAGTCGTTTATGTTTTAACATATTTCAACTTAATCTTTATTGTTAGTGAATGTTAAAATGGACTCATAGTAAATTTACTAGTACTCAGGGAATTGATAGAATTTTAGAGGAGAAAAAGATGATCGATAATAGAAAACTTGCCATCTAGATTCCTAGATATTTAAAAGAGAAATTAGAAACTTCTATCTCTTAGATCTTTTTTTTTTCTCTTATAGATTTATGTCAAATTCACTAAGTTTCATATTTGTCAATTTTGACATTTACTGACCATAACAAACTTGTTAGATATTTATAAATGAATTAAATTTATCGAATTAAGCTTTTGGGTTGATGGGTGATTTATTCGTTCTTAAGAAGACTAAATTTAAATAACGGGATTAAATTGAAAAAAACTATCCCGGACTCAAACGTATATTTAGCCCGAACAAAGAAACTTACATGGGTCACCATTAACGGAGCTGATGAGTTGAAGCAAAACTTTTGGTCGTCGCCAAGTATACAGGCTTGATATAATCACTTTTCCCTCGATCTTTCTTTGCGACGACATATCTCTCTCTCCAAAATCTCTGATTTATGGGAAAAAAAGAAGAAGCCATTTCTTTATATTTATAACCTAAAGCTGACAGCTGCCATAGCAACAAAATTGACCAGAAAACTCTTCTCAATATAGGTTTAGTCTTTTAATTTCTACATTATTATGATGTGGTTAATTTTGAATCTTAGTCTACATGACTTTTTTTTTTTCCTAAAAAGATTTTAATTATTTTATTAATCTAATAAACATATTAAAAATTCACAATCAGATGTGAATATTAGGGTTGTTTAGGGGAAGCAACGAGGCTCCACGTGGAATTGCCTCTTAGGAACACTTCGTAACCTCATCCACCTAAAGAGTGGGTAAGCATAGTGCACTAAATGGCCTCATCCACCTACAAAGTGGGTAAGTAGAGTGCACTGGAAGTAGGACGTTGAACGTACCGAAAAGGGAAGATTAAGTGCACCTACAGAGGCCTCGTTGCAATTAGAGGTATAGATAAATTGATCCAACCGACATCTGGCACAATGTCAGGGGCGTACCCTAGATGATGCACACCACACTGGGATGGTAGGAAAAGGAAACGGAGTGTTGAGAGGGGTCTCCACACTCTCTATTGGCTATCTATCATATTCCGCTGGACTCACCCATTCTTCATATATAAGAAAAATAACAACCTAATCGAGGTAAGTCATCTTCCCACATAACTCCTTCCGAAAATTCAGTACACACTCTCTCAAGCAGACTCTCACCCTTAAGATTACTGATCACTTACTCAATCTACTCCATACTCATTTGCTACCAACTTGAGTGCATTCGACAGAATACCACACTAGTGCTAGATTTTCATGTGTAGGCAACTAGGATCTTGGAGACAATGACGCTCTGGACACCTACGTAGCATGACACAACACTGCCCAAAAATCAGCATCAATAACCTATAACAAATTTTAAAAGAAAATAAAAAGATATAGAAAAATAAAATTTGTAGATTTTCGAATAATAAACAATTGAATATCAACCGCTTTTATATGCACCGGCATAGTCTTCAGACCTTTCTCCATTCTCCACATGGCAGGACTAATTTTCTGCCCCAACACCTAACTTGACGGAATATGTTTTACTTGTTTTAATTAATTTAACCATTTGTCTTCATAAGTATAACTCAACTTCTTATGATACATATTCTCGACTAAAATGTTAAAAGTTTGAATCTCTACCTCCACATAATCATTTAACTAAAAAAAATAAAAAGACACAAAAGAAACTTAACTACTAGTGTCACTACCCCAAATTTAATTTGCAAGGTGTGCAAGTTGTCACCATAGGAGGGTACGACATACTTTATTATAAAATTGATTGGTTGTAACCTTTAATTTTTAACAACGGGAACTTGTCAATTGAAACATAGCTTAAGTTAGGTAAGGTACTTTAAATACTATCTCAAAGGTCAAATTCAACTAACTTAAAAAAAGAAAAAAAAACGTGGCGAAGCTCTATTGAATTATGAATCTGTATTTAACACTTGCCTTACAATAATTTCGAACAAAACCTTCATCCATCTGCAACATGACAAACTGCCATCCAATGGACAATAAAGAAATGGAAATATCTTGGAATTAACTTTTGCAGATGGCAATAATATATGTTCCATTGACTTTTCCCAATATCGATTGTTATGTCATGTTGATAATCTTTGAAAGATTATATTAAATAATAAAATATATTGGATAACTTAACAAAAACGAAACTAGTATTTTTATATTCTTATTCAAAATTTGGCCGTTTAGATAAGGCAATAATTAGTTTCTCCATATTTCTATATTAGTATTACATTTTCCACTTTGAAACTAAATCTACAATAATTTTAGATCCTACTCTAAAAGGTCTCAATATCAGTGAAGTTCATTTTACTTATATGCCCAATATTTTTATGATGTATAACTAACATAATGTGTTAGGACGACGACAACAGCATCTCCATATATCTCTCTATAATTATCTGATATTGTTCACTTTTGGTATAAGCTCCTATGGTTTAAATCTGATGGAGTTTTTACTTGTATATCGAAAATCTAATTGATAAAAAGATTATATATTCACATTTCCAAGAATCGTTCCCTCAAACGAAGGACCAATGAAACCTAGCTCTATTGAAATAGTGATCCATTTGTATAACTCTATACTATATATTGATATCTTGCTCTTAACTATGATAACTTCTATCTCTGGAGCATGATGTTTATTTGATAGAGCTCGACACAAAATCACATAGTGTTTGTTAAGGATTCTACATTGAAAAGAGACGGGATCTAAAAATAATTTATAATAGACATGGACTACTCCTTTCATTGCCAATTGATTTTGAGATAGAACCCTATGAACATTAATATGGTATCAGAGCCCAAAAAGCTCAAAAGAGCCACGATTTTGAGGGGAGATCAAGGGACCTAACCATGATTTATAATAGACATTGGCTACTCATTACCAATTGGTTTTGAGATGGAACTCCATGAATATTTATATGGTATCAGAGCTGACACTTCCACGAAAGAAGTACTAATCAATTTGTTCAAATTCTCACAATGGCCAAAACAGAAAATACTCTTACAATACAAGTTTTCCACCAAAGTTCTAGTCTCATTTCGATCAAATTGAACTCCACCAATTATCTCACTGATGACACGCCACACCAGAAAGAATACATTGATGACAGTAAGGGGAAGACACGATGCAATCCAGAATACTCCACTTGGAGGAACAACGATGGGAATTTTAAGTGTCTGGGCTCTTGGGAAATCCTTAGCACGATCGAAAATACTGATACAGCACGTCAAGTGTAGATTTCTTTGGAGGAACAACTTCTCACCATGACCAAGGAGAACGAGATTCATCTTATTGAAGCTAATTAGTTTTAAGATGGAACCCCATTAATATTGATAACCTTGTTACGAGTGCAAACAAAGTTTTGCATTGACTAGAGAAGGAGGAGATTCATGGTATATAAGTGTGATGACAATTATCTCAATTAGTAGGAGACCTTCTCGATGAAACCAAAAGCAAAACCATGAGAGCTTATTTCTAAAGTTGACAATGTCACATCATTGTAGAGATATGTGGAGGTTCGTTGTTCTTAACAAGTGGTATTGAGTTGCCAGTCGAGAATGACAAATGAATGACTATTCAAGACAAGATACAAGTAGTACAAAGTTATGATGGCTTATGTCTAAAGTAGACAATATCATATAATTGTGGGGATACTTGAGAATGTGAATAATTAATCCACCATTCGAAAAAAAGATTACTGAAGATCCTTCAACAATTTATAGTTAACTAGGGCTCGTCACCTTTTTAAAAATTTATTTTCAACGTCTTTATGGGATAGCTTGAGTGACTTGGAGTCTCAAGTAATATCCTTGAGGTCTTGGATTCAAGTCACATGGACTTGGGGCATAAAGGCCAAAAGGCCGCTGACTCTTGGGTAATAAAAACGAAATTAAAAAAAAATTAATCTATTTCCAACACCATTTTACTCCAATGCTGATTATGTACATTATTCTAGTCATTTGAGTGAGGCATACCATTGTGTGTTTCGATGTTGTATATATTATACATTTGTGTATTGTATAGTCTTTTTTTTTTACTACTGGACACAGGAGAACTTGAACCTGGATCTTTGGTGTTGAACCTCTTGTCATGCACCAACACCTGAGAGTGCACATATATTGTATAGTTTTGAATTCTATACCAACTTACAAAAGTCTATCATTATATATTAACGGGACTGTCGTCCTTATTTATTTATTTAAGATATATTTTTTTGCTTTTAATTGATGTAAGAGTAAAACTATGTTAACATTTCCAACATGGTCCTTATTTATTTACTTTAAGATATATTCTTCACTTTTAATTAATGTGAGATTGTATTCGCATATTCATTGACTTATTTTTATTTTTATTTTTTTGACGAGTTCAACTAGTTTACTTATTTATGGATCTAAATGTTTATCATTTTTTTGTTACATCAATGATTAGACCAACAACTTGGTTAAAATTTAAAACATTGAAAGTGATGTAAGACACAAACATTCTAATATGATTAAAAAAAAGGCATTTAATTTACATTAATAACATAAACTATGTATTTTTAAATATATTAGAAATTTTAAAATTTTGCAAAAATAGCATATAATTACGAATCAAACTCAAATTCATATGCAATAGTAAACACAATAAAGAAAAATTGACAGTTATGTATATTTGAAAAGATTGAAAAGTATTGAATTTAGGCTATCAAGTGAAATTTCTCTACAAAAATAAATATTAAAAGCCCTTGAGGCATGTTTAGCATAAATATAAATATATATATTTCAAATATTACAAGCTATTTAAACTTTATTACAAAATTAACACAATAAAAATTCAGCTTAAATTAAAATGATAATATAAATTACATTAATAATAAAAAGTAAATTTATGTTTTTTTGGTAAAAAAGTATAATATTTTTTAAAATGCATATTAAAACATGTGCTATCCAGTAAAATTTTTAAAACTTTTGCTTGCGATAACATTTAGATGTTATATTTTTGCGGAAAAAAACCATTTAGAGTTATGATAATTTTTACTTAATTATGTACGCAGTTTTATATTTTTACAAAAATAATATATTGAGTGACCTAACTATAACAAGGTGAGATAGTTTGACATTCTTTTACTTTTTAAAAAGAAAAAAAAAAAAGAAGATATCATTCTCTTTACTTTATAAGTCCAAAGATGGAATCCAAAACGAGTATAGCAAAACGATAATTGGCATAATATCTCCAACAATAAAGTTGTGAGTTCGATCCTTATCTCCAAATATTGTATTAAAAGAAAGAAGAAAATAAATTATACTTCCCTTTACGTATGAAACTTGGTTTCATTTTTTTTTTCTTCAATTTAACTCATTGTATGAGTAAAACTGTAATCTGGTCAACTTTCAATTAAAATCCTACCAAATTCGACCTATTTTGAATGAAATTTTTTTGAGATAAGGCGTGATTTTACATTGGATTGCATTTCAAATTCTATTTTTTTAATTCCAACCAAACCAAACACAGGAAATGATTTTAAAATCAAATTCTCACAAATTGGAACTTCCAAACTGGGGTAAATAATTCTACGCCTCCTTTTAGGTAATATATTATGTAGTATAGAAATTTCATCACATAGGGTCATTTACATGTATATTATAAAATATTAAATTTGTAATGAGTAGGTTTTTTTTTTTTTGCTACATTTACTATGACAATCTTTTTGGATTTTGGAATTTTTTTATTATTCAAGATTTTCCTCGATTATAATTTATATTAATTATAACTAATTTACATTTGAATCTAGGTTAAGTTTTGGAAACTAAAAAAATGTAGGACTTCATAACTATTTTGTTTTCATTTTTTTGTTTCTGAAAAATAAGCTTACTTATAATCAGTTAAATTCAATTTTAATTTTACCTTTCCTGTTTTCTAAAAATGTTTTTGAAATTCTAAGTAAATTTAATAAAAAAAAAACTAGTTTTTAAAATATATTTCAATTTTTCGAAAACTTCTTTTTCTTTCTAGACAAATGGCTCATTGGATTGTAGATGAAAAAAATGCCGAGTCCTCTTTCGAATTGAAAATCGATGTTCATACAAAAAGCAAGTCTAAGTTTTAGTAATTACCAATCGTACATCTGCCAACAATAACAAAGTTCATCGTGTTAAGACACATGTATCCAATCATGAAGTTCAAAGTTTGAATCCCCACCCTACATGTACTGAAAAAATTGCCCACCATATCTCAGTGGTGACGTAGAGTTTAGCAGCATCCTTTCGCGTTAGATCTATGATGCATATGATATTGGGTTACCAATTTGGATGACTCTTCCAAAACTTACACATTTTAAAAATATAGCTCTAGCTTTTTTTTTAAATCTGCAGATATAATTTTTATAATCCATTCGACCCATGTGATAATATTTTTTCTTACCCTTCTTCAAATTATTATGAGAAGATAAAAAATAAAACTTTTATAAAATTGGAGGTTGCTCCGTGGGATTAGTCGAAGTACACGTAAGCTGATCTGAACATTCACGGATATTTAAAAAATAATAATAAATTGGAGGTTGATAGTAATAATGGATTTTTTCCCAAATATTTACGTCAAAGAAGTTGTATTTTTTTATTTTTTTAAATCCTATCAATTTCATGTAGTGAGAGAGAGAGAGTTTAACGACAAAATTTTTGTAGTGAGAGAGAGTCACAAAAATTATTTTTTAAAATTCTATCAAATTTGTTGTAGTGAATTAATTTGAGGGGACTGAGAAAGATCGAGAGAGTTTAACGACAAAATTGCGTCTTTTAATTGTGTCTTTTAATTTATATATTCACTAGATTAACAAACCTTTCCAATTATAGATTAAAAGCAACTAAACACAAATAAAAAATGCAATCAATTTACTCAAACTTAAAGGATGTCTTTTGAAACACTAATCATTCCATTAATTAAAAATCATCAATAATTAGCACATAAATCAAAGGCATTCACATACATATCTCTTTTTTCTTTTTTATTATTGCCTTTTTTGACACCCATAAACTAAAAGCAGAAATGCAAAATAAAATGGAATTACATTACAAATCAAACCTCACAAACTAATTAAATTATTTATTCAAATAGAAATGCTATTGGGAATTCCTCTGCCTGTGAGACCTTCAGAGCTAGTAGGAAACAATAGAGTATAAGGCATCTCCACAGGCCCAACTCTATTTTTCAAGTTGGGATCTTTATTTCTCTTCCCAATATTGGCTTCAATTTCACTAAGTCTTTTCCCAAACTTGTCAAATGCCTCCAAAGCCTCCTTGTCCAAAGTCCACTCCGGGTTGCTCCTTTGCCCCAAATACACTTCATCCGAAGAATGCCTTGACAAAATCTCAATCACTGAGACCCCCACAAGCGCCTGCAGTTGCGACGTGATCGTCTTCAAGAACGCCTTTTCGGGGTTCGACTCGAGCTCTTTGTAGTCCTGCGTGCCTTGCTCGGGAAGGAACCTACGGCTCGTCGACGGTCGGTTCGGGGAGAAGCCACCGTAGGGATACTGCCCGAAGTTGACTGCTGCATGGAGGGCTGAAGAGATCCATATAATTATGGTGCAGCTGTCTATGAGGTCTTGAATGGTTTGCATTTTTGGCCACCATGGTTCATCCTTTAGGTCGCCATGGCCTTTCTCGCGAAGCTCCTTCCACCATGATTGGAGCTCGACATCGTTATGTAGCGTTTCGTTGTCCTTGTAGTAGAAAGAACAGTAATCTGTTACCCATGTTTTGATTGCTGTCCAAATCTCGAGCCCATCGACAGCGTATGGATAATCCTCTATTAGTAGTCGGAGGCCATGTGGAGAGCTTGGATCCTGAATTGCAATTCCTCTAAACAAAGCCAAGGCTTGCAAAGTCATGATCAAGTGGAATTGGCAAATTTGAAAACAATTGAGATGGAATATTGGGGTGGTTTTTCAATGCTTAGGATACCAGAATATCGAACCAAACCAGACATCTTGTTCTAACACTATGTTAATATATCAAAACGAATGCTAATACTTTGAAAAAGAAAAAAATGGGTTAAAAAATATATTTGATCTCTCTTAAACTTTAGTATGTAACAATTTAGTCTCTATAGTTTAAATTTTGTAACAATTAATCCCTAATCGTGAAAATCTCATCAAATTCAAGTGTAGATTTTTATCATATAATGATTTGGTATTTGTAAACAAATTTTACCCCTTATTGGTACGTTTATCAATCTACATATATAAGAAACTTGAAAAAAAATCACAATAGGGATTAATTCATTACAGACTTTAAATTATATAGACTAAATTATTTCGGACGAAAATTCAAGAACTAAAGTATTACCAATTTAAAAGTACAGTTACTTAAATCGACTAAATTATTACTTCAATGAAAGTTTAGGGGCACGTTAAAAGTCTTTTGACTAAAGAAACAAGTCTATAATTTTGAAAATTAGAAATCTAGCTAAAAATAAATCATTTTCAAATAAAATCAAAACGATGATCAATGAATTGTGTGAAAATCATTATAAAAAAAAATGATTATATTACCTCTTAATTAGATCAGCTGGGAGAGCTTGTTCAGGGAAGACCCAGTTCTTGTAGACAAAAGAAGACATCTCCATGGAGTACTTGGCTGGATAATGAGTTGTCTCAATAATTCCATCAGCATTAATAAGGGATTGCCTTGCAAGAGCATTAATGTTCATGGTATCCCGAAAATGAGGAACAAGCAACTTATGAATCGGATGAACAACACTTAATTGTCGATTCGTTGCGATCACAAATGGCTCAATTACTGCGTGGGTGTTCAACCTACAAATCACGATCGAAAAAGATAAAATATGTTCAAAGAAATAATTTAAAAGTTTATAGCTTATTTGGTAACGTTCTCGTTTCTTACCAGTGACTAATAAGTTGGTGATAGCCGGTATCGTTGACAGCAACATAAGCCTTGGCTAATTGCCAAATGGAGCCATCAACTCCTCCCTTGGCAGGCAACAATACTTTACTAATGACACCAAATTGGTCTCCTTGAGGGTGTGGCAAACTTAGTTCAATCGCCAAAGGCTTCAAAGTGCCATCATTTTTTAAGAACAGAAGTGTTCTTGTGGCATAAGTCTTTGTGGGAGTTGTATTTATTCTTCTAAGATATGGAATTAGTGAATCATGGTGATCCAATATGTATAGCTTGTTCTTCTCCAGTGCCTATGATCCACACAAAATTGTTCAAAAATGTTATAAGATCAGAAGCTTCGAAAGTAAAATCCATCGATTCGAGTTTGTACTTTAATTACCTCATCCACAGTGAGGCCATCTAAACCATCTTTTATGTGTTCATCAGTTATTTTGCTTGTGTGATCGCCATAAATTTCAGGATCTAGTTTGCTTGCAGGTGGGAATTCCTATAGTTAAATTTTTGTTAAACGGGATATAAGTTTAATGAATGTAAATAAATTACAGTAATAAATGATAGTTAATAATTAATGATTGAATCATGTGAGAATTACTTGGAGACGACGAATGACTACAGGGTCAACTCCCGCCAGCATTTCTCTTGCAAATTCTTCATCAGTGCTCCATGCGGATTTATCCTCTATTTCAAGTCATTAAAATCACCATTAAAAAGATTCAGAATTTGTTTCTCATGTGAACAAATTCAATATTAAAACTTTTTTTCTGGAAAGAGATTCAATTTTAAAATTTACTTGAACAATATTTTACGTTGGAATGGTTCAATATACTAAATCATATGAGATTAGATGGCATTGAAAAAGGTTTTTTAGTACAACAAATAAGTAAAATTTCAACCGAATTAATTTTTTTGGTGATTAATTTGGTAAATTAATTGATACTAACAAAAGATAATTACTTCCAACACTAGCATGACTCAATATTGAAGCATTTTTACTATTTCTTTGGTTGAAAGTTCAATCATCCATCTTCACATTTGTACTGTCATCGAGGATTTTTTTTTAAATATCATATTTACAATTATTTTTACTAAAAATATATTGACATATTTCAATTTAAAAATGAAAAAGAAAAAAAAAAGTTATCTAATGAATACTGTCTACTTGTTTCTAACTTAAAAAAATAGGTGTATTTGAAAAAAAGGTCATAGTTTCTAATCCCCTCATTTTGTCATGTTCTTGAAACAACCGAAGTTAGAAAATTAAGATATTTTGATTCCCTTTTACTTTTAGACAATTAATTCCAAAATGAAACTCCTATGTTTTTCTTTTTTTAAGAAAAGGTTAAGAACACGAAATATAATTGAGAAAGTACACAACATAGTACATACCATGAATTAACTGAGGAGTTGGGAATCTGAGGAATCTTTCACCATCAGTTCTAAATATTTCTTTGAGCAATGGTGCTGGAATGTTCTCAGTGATACCCTCGAGTAAACTTCGAGGCACTGGCAAACCTTTTTCGTAGAGGGCAAAAACATCATTAAAGTCATCAAATTCTCCCGGGGTCGAGTCAAATAGATCTTCGAGTTTGGGTTTGATTGATCGGGATACAGACTTCAGGCCATAGGCAAGAAAATCTGACATTTTCAAGTGCCCAAATCTTTCGTCTCTTGGAATATACACATCGGTTGGTTTACTTGATGCTGGTAATCTACTTTCACTTTTGGGATCTGTTAATTACATAACACGATAAATATGACCTTTATTATAATCATAGTATAAAATATCCATTAACACGTCGACATTTTTATAATATGTTATTTTCAAGACAAATCAAAATTACCTTGATTCCAACTTCTTTTAAAACTGTAATGGTTACTTAATGACTTCTTTCTCTGTTTTTTAAGATAATTGAGTTTTTCTTCCCATCCCAAATCACATTTGTTAATACCAAACTTGATTTGACATAAAAAAGCATGTTGCATGCGTATGATAAACCTATACATTCCCACGATGGAGAGGGGTAAAAAAGCATGAGGAAAATTCAAAAATTAAATGTTAAAACATTTATTAAGATTATGATTTATGGTGGTATTGGTAAGGTATTAATTAAATAAATTTAATAGTAACAATTTTAAAGTATTACATTCTCATATTTAAATTATATTTAAGTATGGTAATAGTTTGAAAAAAAAAACGAGGAAACTTACCTTTTTTGGAAGGTGGTCTTCCCGTTCTTCCTCTACGAGGATAAGGATATTTAGCTGACCCTCCCAGGACTGGACGACCAAGGTCCAAGTTACTATCTGGGTCACCAATATCGTTGTAGACATCATAGTCATAGATTCTATCCCACTCCTTACGTTCTCCTTTTCCATTTCCTCTAAGGTTTATTAATTCTTCCTCCCTATACTTGCGAAGTGGTTCAGGTGTTTCGCTGGAGAGGTAAGCCTATCATAATTATTTGTGAGGTCAAAAGTTGAATATTTACCTTCAATTAAATAAAGAGCACAATTTATCTATTAAATCAATATTTACAAAGGTGATACATTAAGAATATATTAAATCTCTTAATATATTTAAATTATCAAGGTCAAATAACTATTAGTCACCTCTTATGTTTAATTAATATTATTCACCAGCAATTTACCTCTGAGTCTTTTTATATTGATCTAGTTTAAGCCTAACAAAACTAGAAAAATGCCAAGCAAATACTTTTTAAAGGAAAACTTCAATAATAATGCAACAAGACTTTTACATTGATTCCTTGACAAGAAAATAAATAAATAAATAATCCATGTTTTTTTCTATTTATTTATTATTTCTTTTTTTCTTTTTTGGGTTAAAAAGAAAAATCACATGTCAAGACAACTGTAAGCTTAGGAACTATAAGTGTCATTATTGCAAAACCAGCTGTCTTAATCAATCTATTTTAAAAATCAACCATCAAATCAAGACACCAACTTGGTAGGTCACCGAACAATATCAATTACCACGAAAAATTTCATAATTATCAACTATGTTTTATTATATTAAAAATGACGTGAGTTTTACCAACATTAAAAAATAATTTATAAAAAGTAAAGTTATAGGATTAACAAATTGAGTATATCTTGTATCACTAGCATTTTTCTCCCGTCGCTGTTTACAACTATAGTAAAAAAAAAAAAAAGTTAAATATATAATTTTATTATTTTTATTATTAATGTCATTTCTCACCTTTTAAAATTTTCAATTTCATATAGATTTTAATTTAATCAATTAAGTATATCTCTACCAATATTAAAATTAAAAATATAAACATATGAACTGGACATCACCTTAATCCATAATCACTCATTGGATTCGAAACAAGTTGCTACTATATTAAATAGGTTCATTAGGAATAATATTATATTAACAACACCAACAAACTATGTTAAAGTGAGTATAGTGAGTATAGCTCGACAGTAATTGAGATAAATCTTCAATCTCTTGAATATAAGTTCGATTCTCCACCCCACACAGTATATTAAAAAAACAACTGTCATAAAAAATATATATTATATTTATTTGAAATATTTAGTAATGATAAAGGATTTGATTGAATAATGACCTGATTGGCGAAGAAAATGCGATCCTTCTTGTACTTTCCATAAGGGTAAATCCAGGAGTTGCAGTCGAAATGAACTCTGCCATGGCCAGGAACATCCTCGAGAGTGAGAGATTTGAGAAAGAATTCACTAAAATGATCATTTCTGATGAAGAAAGCTCCGGGGACTCCAATTTCTTCATCCCAATCAAAAGTAACAGTGAAGGCAGTTTCTCCTGCAAATATTGGAATTATTGTATTGGCAATCCAATTCTCCAACTCGGCTGCCTTCCCCACCTTCCCTTGAAACCCTTTTACTATTTTTTTTTTTTTAGTCCAAAAGAGAAAAAAGAAACATTATCAGTTTTCAAGCCACACTTTTTTAGTCAAATTTGGCTGCACATCCAATAATTAAGGGGTTGTTTGGAAGTTGTTTTTTCGAAATATATGTGATTATTTTTATTATTATTATTATTATTTTATGCTCTCTCTTAATTTATTCTTTAGGTGGCCGAGTATTTTTTTTTTTTAAAATAGTCACCACTTTAAAATCACAACTCTATAAATTTTCGTCGTTTTTAATTTTTGAAAAATATAGACACGTTGATAGGTTTATTTTTCTCATTTTTAAGAAATGAATCTAAAATTGGTGTAAATTTTAGAAACCATAAAATCAAATTTTTTTCCTATTTCTATTTTTCAAAATATAGATAAAAATAATAATTATATCGATTGTTTTATTTAAATACATAATAAATATCAAAAAGTAAATATAAGATACAATTTTTGAATTTTTGAAATTCATATAAAACTTTTAATTCTTTTGATTAATCTAAAATTTTAGAAAAATAACAAATGGTTCACCAACATGTTTTTATTTATTTTTCAATAAAAATAAATAAATAGCAAGAACGTAGTTTTGTTTTACTTTATTTTGAAAATAAAAAAGAAAACAAAAAACAAGAAATAAGAAGCAGAAAGGTAACCGAACAACCTTAAATAATTGTACCAATGACCTTAATATTACAAGTCGTCCCATCTTAGTTCTAAAAAACATGCAACCTTTAAAATTTTGCTTCAAAAGGAATTTTTGTTTTTAGAATAAAAAAACAGTGGATAATATTTTTTGTTTCTTAAAATTTATTTGCAATATAATTTTTAATATATGCGAACCAACTCTAGAGTCTTTTACATTAAAGGACAGAATCTAACAAGGAATTTTATATTTTTACATTTTTTATATTCGATAAAAGTAAAATACATAAGAAAGTAAGTAGAGCTCAACCATATTATTTTAAGCGTATATAGTCAGACGGAAAGTTGAACTAATATTATAGAAATATTTACAAGGAATAATTGAATCTTATATATTATTTTAGTTTAATTTGGAATGGCAAGTTGGAAAATAATTTATATAAATATATATATATATGTTATTGATTCCAATTGCATAGTGGACTGCAAAGATTTAAATATTAATTCCAAGGTATTCCAAGTTGCATATTTTAAATCTTTTGTTTTTTTTTTCTTTGGACAAAGTATTTGTACTATTTGAATTGAATTGATAAGCTGAATAATTCAACAAATTTAAAATCAATCATTCTCTTACAACATCTCAAAGTTGTTTTTAAATTCATAGAGAAAAAAAAAAACTTAATCTCAGACTTATATTTATTTCTTATTATTCTTTATATTAACTAAAAACTCGTCTGGATCCTTGAAGAACTTGTTTTGAAAGGAAATCTCCATCGTTGGTATAGTTCATTTAGTACGTTATACGTTTAATGAAAATCTTATTTAACCACGACTAAACATATATTTTAAGCTACATATAAATTCAACACATATCAAGTTTGGAAGATTTTTAAAATCAAATATATGAAAAAATTAAATGGCCAAATTTTTATAAAAATTTAATAATAAAACATAAACATTTCTGAGTTATGAAGATCAAAGGAAAAGAAGTGAGTTGAAATTCTTATGAACTACATTTTTTACCCTTGAACCACGTAGGATAAAACATTTAAATATTGTTTTTTTAGTTCTTAAATTTTCAAATGTCTTGTTTTAATTCATAAACTTTGTATTAAATATGATGTCAGTTATTACCATTTATATACTACTGTTAACTATGTAAGAAATAATCTCGATATGATCCTATGAAATATGACTTTTGACCTTTTACATATAGTTTCAAATACTTGTTGATTTAAATACTACTCATCAAGTAAATGACAAAAGGAAACATATACATTTAAAAGATCACATGAAGAACACTAACAAAGCAAAATAATTGTAATCTTGTCAATATTACGGGTTCCATCTCAAAACTAATTGACAATGAGAGGAGTGGCTCTTTTGGCTCATCAATCTTGGCCGGATTCCATTGTTTGGATCGTTTGAGCGTTTTGGATTCTGATACCATATTAATATTATAGGATTTCATCTCAAAATCAATTGACAACGAGAGAAGTAGTCATGCCTATAATAAACCTATGTAAGGTCTCTTCTTTTATAAACGTAGAATCCTTAACCATTTCATCTATAAGCCTAAAGTGAATCTTTATGCCAAATTTATAGACTTAAATTCGTCTAAAAATTCATAAAACAAAATATGAAAATGAAAAGAAAAAAAGATAGAAGTATAGAACGTATGAACCTTTTTCAAGATTTTACCGACTAAAAAGTTAAAATAGTTTTTCACCGAACTTCATTTAAAAAGTTCATAAGACCAAAATAGAATAAAAGAGGTCGAAATCGAGAAGAAAAGAAAGAACTGAAGTATTAGAAACTCACAAGGATCGCCGTGATGAGCGCTAACGAGGCGAAGAGAAACGCCGCCGCCTAAAAACTCATGAAGATTATCAAGAACAGTGGATTGGAAGTCATTGAAATCCAAAACATTACTTCTCATCAAAACCACAGTCCCTTTGATCTTCTTCCCCCCATGCTTCAGCCCAGAGATTGCCCCCACAATGCTCCCAATCAACATCTCTTCAAAAAACCAATAATTTCTTTTTTCTTTTTTTTCCTTTTTTCCTTCAGAGCACGTTGAAATGGGAGAAG